ATGACGGAAACAAGTCTATATCTACCTTTCGACCGGGAAGCACAACACCCTCTGTGGAGAACAATGAAGCTGGCGGTATGGCCACTTTCAGGGAACGTTACCGAGCAGGAGGTCTTCCACCGCAGGTCTGTGACATCCTTATGGCCTCCTGGAGAGACGCAACAAAAAAGAGGTATGAAGGGCCTTGGAGACTTTGGACTAGCTGGTGTGTCTCACGGAATCAATGTCCATTTTCAGCCACTGTAGCAGAGGTTTTACAGTTTTTGACTGAACAGTTTCATTCTCGAAAGCTGTCATACCGAACTGTCGGTGTTTACAAATCATGCATATCTCAACTACATGATCCAATAGATGGACAACCACTGGGAACTCTTCCGCTCTTATCCCGCTTTATGAAAGGTGTCTTTGAACTTCGTCCGCCAACACCCAAGATATGCTTAACCTGGTCAGTTGGGACATTATTAGAGCATTTAACGAATATGGAACCAAACGAGAACCTCTCGCTTAAGGAGTTGACTCTTAAAACAACTATTCTGTTGGCGATTACGTCTTCAGCCAGGGCTCACGAACTTGCAGCATTGCACTTGGATTATGTATCCCAAAAGAAGAATGGTTGGGAGTTTGTTATACCTAAACATGTAAAGAATTCTAGGCCGAATCACCCAGCAAGAAAGATTTATCTTCCAGCCTTACCAGACAACCAAAAGATTTGTGTTATTGAGAGTCTGAAACAATATGTTAATCGAACAGCTCGTATTCGCAAAGACCAGCATCTACTCGTGTCTTATGCCTCGCCACACTCGGCTATCGGAAGTCAGACTGTATCACGCTGGATACGCACTGTATTATCCAATGCAGGTATTGATGCTCAGTACACGGGTCATTCTACACGAGCTGCACATCAATGGCTGCCGATAGCGGTGTCCCTCTTGAGGATATCATAGCTGCTGCTGACTGGTCTTCAGTCACAACGTTTGAGAGATTTTACCACAAGCCTATTTCAAAGGATAAGTTTGTAAACAGTATTTTGGCCTCGGCCCTACAAAAATGACATTACTGTTTTCACTCCAAGATACATTAGTTAGCAACTTTGGGAATATATGTTGATATTGTTTTGTGTTCAATTCAGAAGAAAAATATATAATTACATTGATTAACAGTGTCTTTGAAATCTGCACCAGTATTGGGAGTATCAGTCGGAGAAGGAGTGAAGGAGAAATTATATTTCCTCGGAAGGTACTTACCTGAAGGGGAGATATGGTTCTCCGAGCTCCTTCGAAGACTGATACGAGCAATACTGGTCCCCGTACCAGTGGTGGTAGATGCCTATACCACCCCACCCTAGCCTGTTAATCAATATTCAGCTTGCCACTCAATCAGAGGATGTCAGTACGCATGCGTATAAATTTAATTAAAATCGTGGGTTCTAAGCCGTCGCGCGCCGCGAACTGCACCAGTATTGCTCGTATCAGTCTTCGAAGGAGCTCGGAGAACCATATCTCCCCTTCAGGTAAGTACCTTCCGAGGAAATATAATATCTAGACTCAAGTAGCCCGAGCGGAGTAATTAATGATGAATAAGAAGCACGAGAAAGATGTGTAATGCGATGATAATTACCCTAATTAACCTTCATTATCATCAGTATTTTACATTTACTTCATCATCAGTATTTTACGTGACGGACATACGACCGCTACAGAGAAACAGCCCTCAAGGCACTCGTCTCAAACGGCATATTGTTAGATTGGTTTCAAATTTCAAGATTTAAAAACATCTGAACCTTTCGTAACTAACCTTTGAACTTTGTTGTTTTTTGCATAAGATTAAACACAAAAGGCTCATACGTGTGACAATAATTCCGTAAACATTTTGGTAACATTCATACTTTAATATGACTAGAATTATCAAGAAAACGCTCGCTCAGCTCTTCGTAATACTGCAATTAGCCAAATGCTGTTTTGCTGCGAATATTCTCATTCTTGGAATGCCATTCTACAGTCATCTGGCTGGAATTGCGAACGTCGGGAAATATTTGCAAAGTCAAGGACACGACGTACGCATCACAATCCCACCTCAGTTGGAAAACAAACTACAAAACTATGGCGTTAAACCACTGCTCTACCATTGTCTGGGTGAGTTGCCAGATAATCGTCTAATGGTGAATTTGATTTGGAAGGCATATTTTGAAAAACCGCCGTTGCTTCCCGTCATTTTTACTGGCGTCAACTCGCTTGCGAAGCAAGTTGCAACCAAAATAGTCCGGGATGCTGATCTTAGGCAGCATATAAAAAAATTCAAGCCAGATTTGATTCTGGTTGATTCAAGTGCAGTCGCTGTCATATTAACTCTCATACCCTACAAGTTGAATATCCCCTTCGTTATGTTTGGATACGCAGTATTCCCTCAGTGTACCCGAGCTCCCATCTTACCCACTGTGATCCCTTTTAAATTATTAACCAACCCAGTTCACCCAGATCAAATGACCTTCCTCGAACGTTTATTTAATACTTTGATGAACCTAGCCTTTTATCGACGAAGTATTTTTATAAATTCCTCACTCATTTACGAAGTTGTTCCAGAGAAACCGTATATTTCACTGACAGATCTTCAGGCTAAAGCCCAATTGTGGATCATTCAGCAACCAAGTATACTTGATAATAATCCACCTTTGATGCCAAACGAGAAAAGATTACCTCACCTGCTAAACCTTACACCCAAACCGCTCCCCAAAGAACTCCAGTCGTTTGCTGACAACGCTGATAACGGTGTCGTCCTTGTCTCATTTGGTTCAATTTTAAGCTCCATGCCAGCTCAGGTTAAGGACAAATTACTTCAAGCATTCGTACGAACGAAGTATAAATTCATCACCCAAAGTTTCCTGCAACCCAATAACCAGTCGGACAAATTCATCTCACGAAAATGGCTGCCTCAGTTTGACTTGCTTCGCCACCAGAAAACAATGCTCTTCATCACCCATTGCGGTGCAAATGGCTTGCAAGAGGCGCTGACTGCTGGTGTGCCTATCATTGGGTTCCCAGTGTTTGGAGATCAAATTCAAAACGCTGTTAGCATGGAAAAGAATGGTTTTGGCCTCAAGCTGGACATCAAGATATTTTCCGTCGATGAACTGGTCTCAGCAATCGAGGAAGTCGTTACCAACCCGTCCTACAAATCAAAGGTAGAAAAGGTATCTGCTATTTTTCAATCCGAGAGGGTTCCACCCATTGAAGAGGCGGCCTACTGGATTAACCACGTGCTTAAATTTGGCGGTGATCACTTGAGATCTTATGCTCAAGATATTCCATTGTGGAAGTATCTTGGTTTGGATATCATTGCTTTCTGTTTGTTACTTTGGCATGTTGTTGTTTATTTAGTCGTAACACTTTTAAGATGTTGTTTATCTCGTTGTTGTGGAAGTAAAAAAAAACTAAAAGACGAATAATGACGGGCAGCTGTAATCTAAAAGAATTCTTAGGTTAGATAGAGTGATAGACAAATTCAACTATAGAAAAATTTTAAGTGATAGATGTAAAACTGACGAAATCCAATACCACAGCCATGACTGACCATCTTAAAATGAGTTGAACTGTAAAGTTTGTTCGCGAAAGTCTTGCCGCAAAAATAGCCCCGCGAATTTCACTAATTTTGCAAATATCGGCGCGTAATTTTGCATACAAGACGCATAATATGCCGCATAAATAAATCATTTTTAACAAGAAAAATTTCAACACATAGATGCATTCTTTCAATGAAAAATATACGATTGTTCGCACCATCCAATAGACTTACACTTAAATGGATTAGATATATAAATGTATGTAAGAGGTGTTATTGTATTTGAGACATGCCCTCATTAGAGATATGCAGAGGTATGTATTATTTATATATATATATATATATATATATTATATTATATATATATATATATATATATATATATATAGAGGTTTATTGTTTTTTAAAGAATTACTATGATAATTTTTACCACTGGAACCTCGAACAGAATTTAACCCTAGATACATATTTTATTATTAACAATTCTACGGGGAATACGGATCACGACTAAAACTTTGAGTTAACACCTTCATCCACCTTACTTACCTGATTGGATGGTTATAGGTGTTAGCTCTGTCATTCGCGGGAGGGGTGGCTTGGAACGAGTACTGTATTGGAGCCAGGTTGAGATCCGTACGGCATCTTACGCTGAATACCCCCCCTGCCAAGAGCAAAAAGATTTATAAATGCTCAACAAAAATTACAAAATATAACTTACACAGAAGATTTGAAGCTTGCGCGCGGTAAAAACGAATCGTCTGAATTATTAACCTTTTGTATTTTTTAAGCCTTGAAATGGTCATTTCACAGGTATCAAATGTGTATGATGAGCTGTCAAAAGACAGCCCTTTTGAGCGCTGATTGGCTAAAATATGAGCGTGGAACAGCCCTTCTCAGCGCTGATTAAAATATGAGCCCGAAACACCTGATGAAATCATGCGAGCGAAAGATCTATTTAGCCAGTTTAGGTATTTGTAATGAACAAGACGCCTTGTAGGTGTTATTTCGGGCTATGTAACCTGTAAATACACCGCACTAAAACTGAGCTATATTTGATACACTTGTCCGCGCGGAAGACTAAGCCTGCTACTCACAAAAAAATAATGAATCGCGAAATCTAGACTCAAGTAGCCCGAGCGGATTAATTAATGATGAATAAGAAGCACGAGAAAGATGTGTAATGCGATGATAATCACCCTAATTAACCTTCATTATCATCAGTATTTTACATTTACTTCATCATCAGTATTTTACGTGACGGAGATACGACAGCTACAGAGAAACAGCCCTCAAGGCATTTGTCTCAAACGGCATATTGTTAAGATTGGTTTCAAATTTCAAGATTTAAAAACATCTGAACCTTTCGTAACTAACCTTTGAACTTTGTTGTTATTTGCATAAGATTAAACACAAAAGGCATATACGTGTGAGTCGGTGTGACAATAATTCCGTAAACATTTTGGTAAACATTTATACTTCAATATGACTAGAATTATCAAGAGAACGCTCGCTCAGCTCTTCGTAATACTGCAATTAGCCAAATGCTGTTTTGCTGCAAATATTCTCATTCTTGGAATGCCATTCTACAGTCATCTGGCTGGAATTGCGAAAGTCGGTAAATATTTGCAAAGTCAAGGACACGACGTACGCATTGCAATCCCACCTCAGTTGGAAAACAAACTACAAAACTATGGCATTAAACCATTGCTTTACCATTGTCTGGGTGAGTTGCCAGATAATCGCCTATTGGTGAATTTGATTTGGAATTTATATTTTGAAAAACCTCCGTTGCTTCCCTTGCTGTTTACTGGCGCCAACTCGCATTCAAAGCGAGCTGCAACTAAAATAGTCCGGGATGCTGATCTTAGGCAGAATATAAAAAAATTCAAGCCGGATTTGATTCTGTTGGATTCAAGTGCAGTCGCTGTGATATTAACTCTAATACCCTACAAGTTGAATATCCCCTTCGTTATGTTTGGACAAGCAGCACTCCCTCAGTGTACCCGAGCTCCCATCTTACCCACTGTGATCCCTTTTAAATTATCAATCAACCCGGTTCACCCAGATCAAATGACCTTCCTCGAACGTTTATTTAATACTTTGATGAACCTAGCCTATTATCGACGAAGTACTTATATGAATTCCTCACTCATTTACGAAGTTGTTCCAGAGAAACCGTGTATTTCACTGACAGATCTTCAGGCTAAAGCCCATTTGTGGATCATTCAGCAACCAAGTATACTTGATAATAATCCACCTTTGATGCCAAACGAGAAAAGATTACCTCACCTGCTAAACCTTACACCCAAACCGCTCCCCGAAGAATTCCAGTCTTTTGCTGACAACGCGGAAAATGGTGTCGTTCTTGTCTCATTTGGTTCAATTTTAAGCTCCATGCCAGCTCAGGTGAAGGACAAATTACTTCAAGCATTGGGACAAACGAAGTACAAATTTATCACCCAAAGTTCTCTCCAGCAGAAAAACCAGCCAGACAAATTCATGTCACGAAAATGGCTTCCTCAGTTTGACTTGCTTCGCCACCAGAAAACAAAACTCTTCATCACCCATTGCGGTGCAAATGGCTTGCAAGAGGCACTGACTGCTGGTGTGCCTATCATTGGGTTCCCAGTGTTTGGAGATCAAATACAAAACGCTGTTAGCATGGAGAAGAATGGTTTTGGCCTCAAGCTGGACATCAAGATATTTTCCGTCGATGAACTGGTTTCCGCAATCGAGGAAGTCGTTACCAACCCGTCCTACAAATCAAAGGTAGAAAAGGCATCTGCTATTTTTCAATCCGAGAGGGTTCCACCCATTGAAGAGGCGGCCTACTGGATTAACCACGTGCTTAAATTTGGCGGTGATCACTTGAGATCTTATGCTCAAGATATTCCATTGTGGAAGTATCTTGGTTTGGATATCATTGCTTTCTGTTTGTTTCTTTGGCATGTTGTTGTTTATTTAGTCATAACACTTTTAAGATGTTGTTTATCTCGTTGTTGTGGAAGTAAACAAAAACTAAAAGACGAATAAAGACGTGCAGCTGTAGTCTAAAGAAATTCCTACATTAGATAGACAAATTCTACCATAGAACAATTTTAAATGATAAATGTAAAACGAGATCCAACCACACAGCCAGACTGACCATCTTAAATTGAGGTAAACTGTAAAGTTTGCTCGTGAAATGTTGTGATGTCTTGCAAATATAGCCCCACGAAGTTCACTAATTTTGTATATATCATGCAGTGGCGTAGCCAGCCTGACGATTTAAGGGTTGTTTACTTGAGCCCGGTTACCCGAGATTCAACGAAGCGTGAGATGATTTTGATGTATTAAAATGAGCATCCAGATAACCTTGATCCTGGCAGTCGTATAATCACCACAACAATAGCATGTGCTTGTTTAGTGTCATAAAGGCTTATTTCAATACCTCAAAGTCCTCTCACGCTTCGTTGAATCTCGGGTAACCGGGCTCATGTAAACAGCCCCTTCCCTTAGTCATGCTATGCAAATTTTATATTATTATCATTATTCATTTCTTTAGAAATTCATTGTTTTCACAGTCAATGAACACCAAAATGTTAGCATAACATGACTAAATTGTTGGGCTGGCTACGCCATGCACTGATATCATGCAGTATAACGCGTGGAAAGATAACCATTCTCGGCTCGAAACTGGGTAATAATTCCATGTTCAGAAAATCCTAAATACACGAATGAAATGTTTGATACGTAAGGGTCTTTGTATTTTTTACGACGGAAATGCCGCGCGTAACACTGACTTAAACACCCTTTTGACCTTCGCTGAATAATTTGCATAAAGATTACGCAGAAATTACAATATACACTTGTATAAAAGTATAAATATACCCGGCGTCTGTAAATGGGTTTAATATCACTTGAATATGGCTAGATTTATAACGAAAACACTCGCTTTGCTGGTTGTAATTTCATCCGTTGCGAAATACTGTTTTGCAGCGAATATCCTAATCCTTAGCATGCCCCTCTACAGTCATCTCGTCGGAATTGCAAAAGTCGGGAAATATTTGAAAAGCGAAGGTCACGACGTACGCATCGCAATCCCACCTCAGCTGGAAGAGAAACTGCAGGACTATGGCATTAAACCATTGCTCTACCATTGCCTTGGTGACTATCCAGAAAAATTGCTAATGGAGAAGTGGATTTGGAAGATATTTTTTGAAACACTGCCGTTGCTTTCCGTAATATTTAGTGGAGACCAGCCGATTCCAAATCGAGTTGCAAGCAAAATAGTCCTGGATGCTAAACTAAAGAAAAATATTAAAACTTTCAAACCAGATTTGATTCTACTGGATTCCACCCCAGTCGCTGTAATGTTAACTCTCATACCCTACAAGTTAAACATTCCCTTCGTTATGTTTGGATCCACAGCACTCCCTCAGTACACCCGAGCTCCCATTTTACCCACTGTCATCCCCTTTAAGATTTCAACCAACACGGATCAAATGACCTTCCTAGAACGTGTATCTAATACTTTAATGAACTTGGTATTTTATCGACAAACTCCTTTCATCAATTCATCACTCATTAGGGAATATCTTCCAGATGAACCGTATATTTCGCTGATAGATCTTCAGGCTAAAGCCCAATTGTGGATCGTTCGACAACCCAGCATGCTTGCCTATAACCCACCTTCAATGCCGAATGTGAAACGATTACCTCACTTGCTGGACCTCACACCAAAGCCACTTCCTCAAGAATTCCAGTCGTTCTTAGAAAGCGCGGAAAATGGTGTCGTCCTTGTCTCATTTGGTTCCTTTTTAAGCTCTATGCCAGCTCAAATGAAGAACAAATTACTTGAAGCATTCGCACGAACGAAGTACAAATTTATCACTCAAAGTTTTTTACAACCGAATCAGTCAGACAAGTTCATGTCCCGAAAATGGCTGCCTCAGTTTGACTTGCTTCGTTATAAGAAAACAAAGCTCTTCATCACCCATTGCGGCACAAATGGTTTGCAAGAGGCACTAACTGCTGGTGTGCCAATCATTGGTTTCCCAGTGTTTGGTGATCAACCATACAATGCTGTTAATATGGAAAAGAATGGTTTTGGTCTAAAGCTGGACATCAAGTCATTTTCCGTTGATGAACTGGTTTCAGCAATCGAGGAAGTCGTTACCAACCCGTCCTACAAATCAAAGGTGGAAAAGGCTTCTGCTATTTTTCAATCCGAGAGGGTTCCACCCATTGAAGAGGCGGCCTACTGGATTAACCACGTGCTTAAATTTGGCGGTGATCACTTGAGATCTTATGCTCAAGATATTCCATTGTGGAAGTATCTTGGTTTGGATATCATTGCTTTCTGTTTGTTACTTTGGCATGTTGTTGTTTATTTAGTCATAACACTTTTAAGATGTTGTTTATCTCGTTGTTGTGGAAGTAAACAAAAACTAAAAGACGAATAAAAACGCGCAGCTGTAGTCTAAGGAAATTCCTACGTTAGATAGACAAATTCTACCATGGAACAATTTTAAATGATAAATGTAAAACGAGATCCAACACCACAGCCAGACTGACCATCTTAAAATGAGTTAAACTGTAAAGTTTGTTCCTGAAATGTTGTGATGTCTTGCAAATATAGCCCCACGAAGTTCACTAATTTTGTATATATCATGCAGTGGCGTAGCCAGCCTGGCGATTTAAGGGTTGTTTACATGAGCCCGGTTACCCAAGATTCAACGAAGCGTGAGATGATTTTGAGGTGTTAAAATGAGCATGCAGATAACCTGATCCTGGCAGTCATATAATCACCACAACAATAGCATGTGCTTGTTTGGTGTCATAAAGACTTATTTCAATGCCTCAAAGTCCTCTCACGCTTCGTTGAATCTCGGGTAACCGGGCTCATGTAAACAGCCCCTTAGTTATGCTATGCAAATTTTATGTTATTATCATTATTCATTTCTTTAGAAATTCATTGTTTTCACAGTCAATGAACACCAAAATATTAGCATAGCATGACTAAATTGTCGGGCTGGCTACGCCATGCACTGATATCATGCAGTATAACGCGTGGGAAAGATAACCATTCTCGGCTCGAAACTGGGTAATAATTCCATGTTCAGTAAATCCTAAATACACGAATGAAATGTTTGATACGTGTGGGTCTTTGCATTTTTTGCGACGGAAATTCCGCGCCTAAAACTGACGTAAGCACCCCGTTGACCTTTGCTGAATTAATTTGCATAAAGATTGCGCAAGAATTACAATATTCACTTGTATAAATATACACGGCGTCTGTAAATGTCTGGGTTTAATATCACTTGAATATGGCTAGATTTATAACGAAAACACTTACTTTGCTAGTTGTAATTTCAACAGTTGTTAAATACTGTTTTGCAGCGAATATCTTAATCCTTAGCTTGCCTCTCTACAGTCATCTTGTCGGAATTGCAAAAGTCGGGAAATATCTGCAAAGCGAAGGTCACGACGTACGCATCGCAATTCCGCCTCAGTTGGAAGAGAAACTGCAGGACTATGGCATTAAACCATTGCTCTACCATTGTCTGGGTGAGTATCCAGAAAAATTGCTAATGGAGAAGTCGATTTGGAAGATATTTTTTGAAAAACCGCCGTTGCTTCCCGTAATATTTAGTGGTGACCAGCCAATTCCAAATCGAGTTGCAAGCAAAATAGTTCTGGATGCTAAACTAAAGGAAAATATTAAAACTTTCAAACCAGATTTGATTCTACTGGATTCCACTCCAGTCGCTGTGATGTTAACTCTCATACCCTACAACTTAAACATTCCCTTCGTTATGTTTGGATCTGCAGCATTCCCTCAGTACACCCGAGCACCCATATTGCCCACTGTCATCCCCTTTAAGATTTCAACCTACACGGATCAAATGACCTTCCTAGAGCGTGTGTCTAATACTTTAATGAACTTGGTATTTTATCGACAAACTCCTTTCATCAATTCATCACTCATTAGGGAATGTCTTCCAGATGAACCGTATATTTCGCTGATAGATCTTCAGGCTAAAGCCCAATTGTGGATCGTTCGACAACCCAGCTTGCTTGACTATAACCCACCTTCAATGCCGAATATGAAACGATTACCTCACTTGCTGGACCTGACACCAAAGCCACTTCCTCAAGAATACATGTCGTTTTTAGAAAACGCTGATAATGGTGTCGTCCTTGTCTCATTTGGTTCCATTTTAAGTTCCATGCCATCTCAGATAAAGGACAAATTACTTGAAGCATTCGCACGAACGAAGTACAAATTTATCACCCAAAGTTCTCTCCAGCAGAAAAACCAGTCGGACAAATTCATGTCACAAAAATGGCTGCCTCAGTTTGACTTGCTTCGCCACAAGAAAACAAATCTCTTCATCACTCATTGCGGCACAAATGGCTTGCAAGAGGCACTGACTGCTGGTGTGCCAGTTCTTTGTATACCATTGTTTGGTGATCAACCACAAAACGCTGTTAGCATTGAGAAGAATGGTTTTGGCCTCAAGCTGGACATCAAGTTATTTTCCGTCGATGAACTGGTTTCAGCAATCGAGGAAGTCGTTACCAACCCGTCCTACAAATCAAAGGTAGAAAAGGCTTCTGCTATTTTTCAATCCGAGAGGGTTCCACCCATTGAAGAGGCGGCCTACTGGATTAACCACGTGCTTAAATTTGGCGGTGATCACTTGAGATCTTATGCTCAAGATATTCCATTGTGGAAGTATCTTGGTTTGGATATCATTGCTTTCTGTTTGTTACTTTGGCATGTTGTTGTTTATTTAGTCGTAACACTTTTAAGATGTTGTTTATCTCGTTGTTGTGGAAGTAAACAAAAACTAAAAGACGAATAAAGACGCGTAGCCTACGTAATATAGACGGTGAAAAAAACGATGGACCGTCTTCCACAATTATTCAAATATTTGTAGCCCGAATGTTGGCGCCCGGAAGTTATTACTATATAGCGCCTGCGCGCAGGCTAAAAGACGCGCAGCTGTAGTCTGAAGGAATTCTCAGATTAAATAAACAATTTCAGAAAAAACACTGCATGGAAAACTTAAATGATTTGTGTAACTTAAAGTGAGTAAAACTGTGAAATTTGGTCTAGAAATGATATAAAATTTTGGAAATGCCTCGCCTAAAACTGAAGTGGACACCCCGTTGACTTCGTTCAATAAATCCAATAATTTGCATAAATATTACGCAAGAATTCCAATATACACTTGTATAATATACATGGCGTCTGTATACCCGTCTGCATGTAATATCACTTAAATATGGCTAGATTTACCACAAAAACGCTCATTTTGCTGGTTGTAATTTCAGCCGTTGCTAAATACTGTTTTGCAGCGAATATTCTAATCCTTAGCTTGCCATTCTACAGTCATCTTGTCGGAATTGCAAAAGTCGGGAAATATCTGCAAAGCGAAGGTCACGACGTACGCATCGCAATTCCGCCTCAGTTGGAAGAGAAACTGCAGGACTATGGCATTAAACCATTGCTCTACCATTGTCTGGGTGAGTATCAAGAAAAATCGCTAACGCAGAAGACGATTTGGAAGATGATTTTTGAGAAACCGCCGTTGCTTCCCGTAATATTTAGTGGTGTACAGCGGCCTCCAAATCGAGTTGCAAGCAAAATAGTCCTGGATGCTAAACTAAGGCAAAATATTAAAACATTCAAGCCAGATTTGATTCTACTGGATTCCACCCCACTCGCTGTGATGTTAACTCTTATACCTTACAAGTTAAACATTCCCTTTGTTATGTTTGGATGCGCTGCACTCCCTCAGTACACCCGAGCTCCCATCTTACCCACTGTCATCCCCTTTAAATATTCAACCTACACGGATCAAATGACCTTCCTAGAACGTGTATCTAATACTTTAATGAATTTGGCATTTTATCGACGAAGTTCTTTTATCAATCAATCACTCATTAAGGAATATCTTCCAGATGAACCGTATATTTCACCAAGTGATCTTCAGGCTAAAGCCCAATTGTGGATCGTTCAACGACACAGCATGATGAACTATAACCCACCTTCAATGCCGAATGTCAAACGATTACCTCACTTGCTGGACCTCACACCAAAGCCACTTCCTCAAGAATACCTGTCGTTTTTAGAAAACGCTGATAATGGTGTCGTCCTTGTCTCATTTGGTTCCGTTTTAAGCTCTATGCCAGCTCAGGTGAAGGACAAATTACTTCAAGCATTCGGACAAACGAAGTACAAATTTATCACCCAAAGTTCTCTCCAACAGAAAAACCAGTCAGACAAATTCATGTCACGAAAATGGCTTCCTCAGTTTGACTTGCTTCGCCACAAGAAAACAAAGCTCTTCATCACCCATTGCGGCGCAAATGGTTTGCAAGAGGCACTAACTGCTGGTGTGCCAATCATTGGTTTCCCAGTGTTTGGTGATCAACCATACAATGCTGTTAATATGGAAAAGAATGGTTTTGGTCTAAAGCTGGACATCAAGTCATTTTCCGTCGATGAACTGGTTTCAGCAATCGAGGAAGTCGTTACCAACCCGTCCTACAAATCAAAGGTGGAAAAGGCTTCTGCTATTTTTCAATCCGAGAGGGTTCCACCCATTGAAGAGGCAGCCTACTGGATTAACCACGTGCTTAAATTTGGCGGTGATCACTTGAGATCTTATGCTCAAGATATTCCATTGTGGAAGTATCTTGGTTTGGATATCATTGCTTTCTGTTTGTTTCTCTGGCATGTTGTTGTTTATTTAGTCATAACACTTTTAAGATGTTGTTTGTCTCGTTGTTGTGGAAGTAAACAAAAGTTGAAGGACGAATAGCAGGTACGGTCATGCCCTGCCGTACTCTGAGCCATTTGCCGTTAAACTAGGAATATTCTCGATAAATAAAAAATTTTAAAAATCCGTGTTATGCACGATTTATTAACAAATAATTTTAGGCGACTTCAGAGAATTGGCAATTATTTGTCAATTTTAACTTATATAAATAACGTTTTATTTATATGGGCTTAAATAATTGCCGAAATAAATAAAACCTTTATATAAATTTAAATTCTTGAATTCAATTTAACGTGTTTTATCACTCAAGATTAATTGTGGACGGATCAATTGTTTTCACTATGTTCTACACATGAATAATTTTTAAGGTACAAAATGAAATGCAAAGAAGAAGAGACCTCCACGATAAATCAGAAGAAAGAAAGTCTATTGTTTGCAGTCAATACAAGAGACTGCATCCCGAATGCTTTGTTTTAAAGGTAAGGCGGTTGGAAAAAATCACACTATCAGGAACATGTAGTTCATAAACTCAAGTCTGAATCCTTGGTTAAGTTTGTTTTCCACGCAGATTACGGGAGGCAGCATCCTTATACCCAGGGTCTAACCGCGTGGGCTCCTTCCTGCATAATTACAATCCTCTGGCTCTGGCGAGAAAACAAAGGCTCTGGAATAATCGAAGTCAGAAATAATTCTGATGGGTCGTTTCACGTCGTTTTGATTTTGAAATACAAAAACCCAGTATCTCGATTATCTCAGAGCCTTTGTTTTCTTGCCAGAGGAATCGCCTGCTGGGAACGAGATTGGCATAATTATACCAGCGCGCACTAACAAGGCCTGGGACTAGGCTGGCGCGAGCCTATTCGGGTTAGAGCTGTACATGTCACCTTACCAAAATGCAATGCAATGCAAGCATATAGCATAAAATACTAAAAAATATGGGAGGAAATGCACCTGACATTAAAAAGAGACGCTTTTAATTATTTTTACTACCCTGAACTAGTCGGGGTACATATTCGGATAGAATAATTATAGGAAACACAAAGACAAAGCTTTATCCATTCGTCTAGCATGTGATGATTCTAAACAATATACCCTTCTTTTCATGCAGGAATCGTATTTTGATCCTCAATTTTTGCGAATCGTAAAGTATGCGAAATCAGAGAAGTCTTCATTCAGAGGTTTACTCTCAGTCCCCTTTGTAAAGGCGAACAATGGTAGAAACGTTTATTCCTCAACTTTAATTTGGTTATGACATTAACTGTAGTAATATAGCAAAACATCACATCGCACATGTATAAATGCACTTTAATTTAAGCGGACTGTTTGCGATTGTCTTCTTTTGATAGATGTGAACGAGTAATTAGTTACGAATGCTCTGATGTGTTAGAGCTCTTTTTTGAACATCAGTAACTAATTCACTCGTTCGCATCTGTAAGAAAAAAAACCCGCACAAAATTTTTATCTACCATATTTACAAACCGTTTAACCGTGTTTCAGAGCACCAGCTTTACGTCTTTCCTGTATTTACGGAAGAATTTTGTCGAAATTTCATGGAAGAGCTCGATCACTTCAACGAATCAAAGCTGCCTAAAGGAAGGCCAAACACTATGAATAACTATGGGGTAAGCGCAATGAATAATTACTTATTTTTCCACTGAAGTCAACGTTTTGTCGTATTATATTTATGTAGTCAAAAAGGAGGAATTTCGGTTTGAACTAATCGACTACTTGTGAACATTTTTCAGGCAAAGCCAATCAGAATGCTTAAATTTTTAATACTTCATGTAAAATGGTAATTAATGTACTTTTACCGGAAGTAGTCAAAATTTATACATTCTCATTGGTTACCGAAAATGTAAACAAACGTGCTGATTGGTCCAAGATCAAATTCCTACTTCATCAGCAAAGGTGATAAAAAACAATAAAATCAACCTCATTCGTTTATCATATATCGTAAAATTTCGCGCGCTGCTACAGTGCTACAGTCAATCAGATGGCAGGAATGGCTAAGGTTCCACCCTCAGCTGATTTGTAAAAAAATACTCACTGATATCACGAATAAATATTTCTTGCTAACATTTACATTGGACTTTGTTAGATACTTTTAGATGAACTTGGTTTTGATGAAAACTTTCTGGATGTGTTATTGCATCAGTACATAAAACCTCTGAGCGGGCTTATGTTTCCCAAAAATGGCGGACGTTCTCTGGATTCGTACAAAGCATTCACGGTGAAATACAAGATGGGAGATGATCTTAGCTTGGGCTATCATTACGACAATGCTGAGGTAACCTTGAACGTCTGTATGGGAAAAAACTTTACCGAAGGCAATCTATACTTTGGTGACATGAAAGAGGTAATTATTTCAAAGCTGCTTTGCCTTCCTGTGGCAAATGTAAGACTCAGTTCAAAGCCGCGCAAAACGACTTCAACTTTTCGTTTTGAATTTTCAAGTCGATTTGAAGACGAATTTGAGATAGTAAGTACAAAAAATTCCCTGATTTTACCGCACCTTTCCCGCGCGGCATATACACAAAAGACCCTGGGGCGAGGTTGATATTGCTGTTGTCATTCTCGTTTCCTTTCCTAGCTGGGCCTAGGGGACGAGGATGTTCCTTTCCCCTGAAGGATCGCGGGCTCTGTTTACGAGGCATCCTCGTTCCCACGCAGTACGCAAAAAACCTGGGAACCAGGGTGGTTACGAGATTGTATCATTACTAGGTACCAGTTTTCCAAAGCGAGTGCATCGAAATGGAGCATCGACAAGGTTATGGTATCCTACATCGCGGAGGGCAAATGCACGGAGCGTTGCCAATCCATTCAGGGGAACGACACAACGTCGTCGTGTGGATGAGATCGTCGGAGATCAGAAACAAATGTTGTCCAATGTGCGTACGGAAACCTAACCTCGTCAAGGTTGCTGGGAAGGGTGACGGATTTACACTATCAAGCATGGCAGTCTGTAGCACGCAGTGAACTCTATATAAACTGGACCTATAGCCCGCCATCTTCGAAGCCAAATTCTAGCATCAGTCCCAGACTCCCAGTCCTCTTGTCCAGTTCATTGCTATTGTTTTAGTATTGACTATAATTGAAATGCTCTATTCGCTGTAAAAATTTTAAAGGCTAGAAATAAAAAAAATTGACGTACATATCTTTATTATTCAATTGAACTCAGCTGCATGTTACGAGTCTTTTAAATGTTCACTTGAACCCATGGAGTGAATAATATGTACATCAAGATCAAGTCAAATGACTGTCAAATTATCACCAGGGCTGTGGACAGGCTTTCTACTGTTGTAGGAGCCAATGACCAAGGGCAATACCATACCCCCTCTCCCTCGTGAAAATAGGAAATGTACAATACCACCCCTTCCCCTTCTCTCTTCTAAAAGTAGGAAACTAACCCCCCTCCTCCACAGCCCTGACGATGGGCAATTTCTTACATGGTAAATGCGCACTGCAATCTTTATACTACACCTACAATATATTTACAAATATATTAAAATTTCCAAGTGTTAAAATATCACAGTGAGATGGATTCCTAGCCATTATATGCATAATCTGCTTTGTTGTGCATAATTAATTTGTTATCGACAAAATAAAAACTGTCCGATTTTGTTTCATAAGGATGTTTCACCATTTCTTGAACTAAAAAAATATAACATCGAAGTGTGATTTTGATTTCTGATTTTACTATATAAATCAAGTTATGAAGCAAATTTCATTATTTTTTATATTGCATCAACCCATTACTTTTTATTATGCATATTAAACAGCTATTTAATAGTAGGGATGTGCAAACAAGTCAGTAAGACTCAGGATTGGGGCAGGGGGTGTCATTTATTTTTCATCCTGGTAGAAGGCCAATGTTTCTTAACAAAAGTTTTATTTGCCTAACTAGTCAGAAGTCCTATGAAGGAAAACCCTGGGTAAAAGGTTGGCCATGTTTTCACCCCCCACCACCCCCTCTCCACATTGCAACACCCCTGTTCAAGAGAAAAAGGCACTGCTGATTATTAAGAATTTAGCTGAATAAAAAACTCTTGCCACCCAATTGACTTTGATGATACATACAATATACACTGAAGTATATCATAACATCCCTGGGAACAGACATTTTTAGGTCAACCCTAGTTAATTATTAAACCCAATAACTGGACAAGCAAAACACTCTGTTGATAAGAGAAACTGAAAAGATCTGCTAAATAGCAATATTTGGCTAAACTAACAATGTTCTGCTCACCTCACCAGTGTGTGTATAGTCATACTTACTTTCTTCGCTCGTCAAGCTGGGAAATTCATAGATATGTTCACATGTGTTCTTGCTGTTCGGTATGCAAAATCCAAATGAGAAATCAAATGTTTTCAACACTTTGTCTTGGAAAAAATGTCGTTCAATCATACGAAAATTGCTGACAGGACTGTCGCCAACAACAAATTCCACACTAAAAACATTAACATTCACTGGCTCAGACTTTTAGCTGCTAAAATACCCACCCTCGATTCTGTGCAGTAAGTATTTACATTACATGATCAAGGTGAATGCTTTTTGTCACAATATAGTGAACAGTGTTTATGACTTAATCTTTTGAAAATCAATTTCTATAGTTCAATGTGTTTCATTGTTATCATCAATAGCAAAGCTTGTTTGTATAGGTATACAGGTACCGACCCTTCCTGCCAACAAACATTGTCATATGTGTGTCATTGTGAATATTTCTGTAAAGTGCATCTGCAGCTATTTACTTCTGTGCTTAATATCACTAAGAGCACATTACATACAGCACCATATACAGCATGTTACTAAACAGTGATAGATTTTTATGCTAAAAACCTTGCGAGGCTGTTAGCTCAGCAAGTTTCTTTTGTGTGCGGATAATTTTTGTGAGGAATTCGCCTTGATAGGCAGGTAAGTTTCTCTTGTGTGCAGATGGTTTGGTGATGGCTGAGCTAACTGCCTCACAAGGTCGTTAGCGCAGCAGATAGCTCATGTGTGTGGCAGCCTTTAAGCAACCTCACTGGATGAGCGGTTAATGTAGGGACTTCCTTTTCCAAGCAGAATTTGTCAACTAATTTACCCCCAGACTATTCCAAGCAAAACAAGTTACAGACTGCACCCCATACATAATATACCCTACACAAATAGGTAGGTTAACATGAAATTCCCAGAAAACCCCCAGCAAGAGGGGCCTGGCATGCCTTTCTTAAGCTCAGTGGATATACCGAGAAACATGATACATCAAGAAGGAAAAATAGTCAAAATAAAGGTTTTTATTTCAAAAATATTTGCCTCCATACGTATTTGGAAAAATAAGGCACACCAAACAGGTGAGAAGTCGGCTTTAAATTTTAAATTATTTAAAACCAATTTAAAATACTGAAGTGGATATGGTAATTCATATTTAACTGCAGCAGGAAATTGATACAGGCTCTTGCATATCAATTTTACCATGACAACCAAAGTTTTCAAATTTAACGATATATAGACGTTTCTCACTGTTTTTAAAACTCCCTGTTTTTCCCCCACAAATTTCGGAAAATCCTACAATTTGCCATAAGACCGGTGATTATTAACAGAGACAAATTACCGTGGGATAGGGAATTTCGAACACGGAGAACGGCAATTTAAATTCGCTTGACAATGAACGAACAGGAATCGATGCTTTAAATATTTGATTTGCCGTAAAAAACTATCATAACTTTATCCCTGCAACCGTAAATCACACGTAAACGCAAACAATGCTTGTGATACTCACGTTGCTCCAACTGTTCGCAGCTTTAAAAAATCCGGCGTGAATTTATAGCGGACAAATCGACCTGCATTTGGATCGTCATCAACAACTTCATCCCCGAGAGCTTCGTCTTCGTCGCCTGCAAGCTCAAGGTCGTCCGGTTTGGCGATCTCAAAAAGTGTCCTTCCACAGTCCATGTTACGAATTTTAAACCTCGTAAACTCGATGCCGTAAATATTCGCCTTTCTGTCGCAAAGATACTCTAAAAAGAGATTTAAACGCTTGTCTAATCGAGCTTATTTGCGGTTCAATGTTGGTGAACAAAAATAGACACGTCGACAACAGGTCCTTTCATTCACTGAAGGTACGTAGAGGAATTTTTTCATATACAGACAGTAAATTAATCTCTCTTTCTTCCCTACCTTTCGTGGCTTTAGTCAATCTTAACACATCCTCTGGCGAGATATTTTCTTTCCCAGCGAGCTCCTCTTCCGTGAGTCCCTTTTTCGATTTAACTTGTCTCGCTAAATAGCCACCTCCTTTCTTCTTTTGCCCGGGCTTGTTGTCTTTTCCCGAGCCGTTCGAGCTCAGCGAAGACTTGTTGCTCATTGCTCAAGAGTTTATTGACAGCCAAAAAGGAGATTTCAAGCCGATTTACAAGAGCATCGTCCCATAAACTGCTGGCAATAAAAAATTGACATGCAAAGCACATGAAAGGAAGCGTCCGCCGTCCAATCTCCAAGTCCAAATCGCCGAAAAAATTAGCTATTCTGGTCCACGTGCCACTCATTAGTTCCGGTAAAATTTTGCGGTGCAAGCGCTCCAGTGGACTAAACAGATCAGTAGTTCGCTGCAGCCCTCAGTTTTTACCTGGACCACTGAGATATATAATAATTCACATTTATTTACCACAGAGCATTGGTTTTCAGCTGAGATACAAATACTCCCTAAACCTTGGACAGAATGTCAAAGTTTGGTGTTAAATTTGACGAAGAAGCAAAAAATTCCAACCTCATCTAGCAATATAAATAAATTATTACATTGCAATCTATTCAAAAAACAGTCTGCAAATATCCTCACAAAAAAGCGTCCCCCTCTTTTTTGTAATGTCATTTAAAATGTCATTGGCTAGGATTCCACGATTTTTGTGCGACAATAAAAAGAATTGTACGTAAAACGAAACCAGGTAATTCTATATACTTTATTAATCTTTTCACATTAAACTACTATGATAAACTGTACAAAAAATTTTGTCAAAAATATATACATGATTTCATCATCTGCAACATACAATATCTATAGTTTTATACATCAACGTTCCAAAACGTCCCAATGTCATTAGGAAAGGAGCTTTGCTTTGAGAGCACGCGTTTTCCAAAACGTGCTCAAAACGAGAAAATGCGTGCTCCAGAAAGCAAAACTCGTTCCCTATGCGGCTGACTAATATTTACATCATCTACACAAATAATTTCAATATAAATATATATATGTATACCACATGCTGTATTTAGCTTTCGAAACAGCTGAGAATAATTTCATATGTTAGGAAAATAATTCCCGTATTTGGAATCTGTCGAAATAACTGCGTGGTTAGTCCACGGTACAGACCACTGGCACCTTCCTCTGCTCCGACCTTAACCAAGGTTTGTACAAACGAATGATACTTTCTATGACCATCAAGCTCGTACTGTCTTAATCTGGTCCTGACCACCTCGTGAGGGTAGGTCAAGGTACACGCAATGCTTTTGGATATCCCAGCTGCAAGCATGTACTCGATAAAGTTCTCAATACGCGGTCTGTTTCCCAAATCTTTGCTTATACCACGTATTCCATTAATCTTTGCCTTGATGTGCTCGTAAATCACCAGGTGGATGACCGTCTCCGTGACGCCAAAATACGACGCGGAAAGACCCCGATAAAAACCTCTCAGACCATCCTTTCGGTATATTTCTCTGATGGATTCGACGATACCAAATCTTTTTACAACGCTGCGGAAACGAGAAAGTCCTTAGTTAGAAGAAACACATAGAAACTATTTTAATATTTGACATTTCAAACATATTCCTCTGTTGTTTATCTCGTAAATGGAACGAAATGTTAAAAATTTGTAGTGTTTTTTAACACCCACATAAAATAAAAAGAAGCTCCAAATACGTTCAAGAAATGCTGCTACGAATATGAATAGTTTGAATTAATATTATCCTTTTTTTTAAGTTTTTTAGAAAACGTTTTGTGAGATATATTGATCAGGGCGCTTATCTATAAGCCCTGATATTGATCAACATTTCTCTCTAGATTTGTCACTAAAAAACGTTTATCATCAATGATGTAGTCTGGGGTTTGCAAAAACTAATGATTTACTATTATACATAATGGTTCATCATTCCCATATTATGCAGTTTGCAAATTTGACTTCTGTCACGATTAAATTTGGAGCTCCATCGACTTTTTTTCCTTAAAATTCTTACTCAAACAAGCTTTTCTACAACCAACTCATCCCTACCTACTGTCCAGCTGAAGTCTCGTCTTTACAACCCATATTGGAGATGTCAATGTTGTTGATGTTACACCTTTCAAATACATTATGACACTACATGAGAAGTTGGATCTTTTTTGAAAAATACAACTAAAATCATAGAAATTTGTAAATACCTGCAGATAGACCAGAAAGCATATGAACATAGCTACTGTCACGTCGGACCAGGCCAGAATTGTTGAGAAGATTTTTCGTTTTTGCATATGCCGTGAAGTAGATTGCCCTAGGAGATTAATAAGGTTATAATACTGTTCATAGAGGAATTACTCAAAAATCAAATGCCCAACACTATGAGATAGTTTGCTTTTCCAATGAGTCATATATTTCATCTGAGATAGGTTAAATGCAGTACCATATTTCAGTAACAGATTTCAATGCTCATATAAAGTACCTAGGGGCTGGGACGCAGTTGTATAAAAGACAAGTTAACTTTCTAACTGTTCTTAAGGAGAGAATTGGCCAATCAGAGTCGCGTATTTCTGAGGTGACTAAGATTTAACTATGCAACATGTAGTTAAATAGTTTTATACAACTGGCCCCAGATAAGTACCAATTACCAATATGTAGGAGATTCAATGCTATGAAATACCTTGAAGGAGCGACACCAACCAGATTTGGACCCAAGCCTCTGAAGAGTGACTTCAATCCTTCTGTTTTTATGATATGTCTAGAATGGATGTTTCAAGTATCCAATCAGCTACTAATTTATTCATTTAGCTTTGCCAGTGGAATACAAAGAGATACACATACACTAATACACACAAAACAGTGACACACAAAATTAATACAAATACACAAATATTCACAAATTGACAATCATGGCAGGGTATTGCTACAGCTTATGCCAATTGCAGCAGCCCTTTTAAAACAAATAAAACAGACATGATGCAATCTCCATTAGATCATTTATAGTCACACATGAATCTAGTTTCCACTCAGGAAAACCTTTCTCATGATAGGAGCAGAATAGAAACTTCATTAAAATAGGTCATTTGTACTCTGTGAGTTAATTTACCTGTGACAAAGCTGGACAAAACGAACACAAGGACACACATTTGAATTAATAGCAGCACCACTAAAATATGGTACTGCATTTAATTTAAGAGGTTTAAGGGGTCTTATTTTTGAGTGGAATTATACACACTTCAAAATAATTGTGGGATATTATAAGGTATACATACTTTGTGCATGCCAGAATGCCAACAGGTACTTTTTCCACAGCAATAGCGAAGGCACCATTGCCTGGAAGGTACGCAACAGGACGAAATACCGGTAAGGAAGACTAAAGGTATCAACAAAGCGCAATTCAATTTAGATGCTTTTTTGATGTGAATTGTAGGTTATAATGTAAACAATTCAGTTATCTAATAGTATCTACCTGCAGTCGTGTTTTGATGACTTCCAAAGGGCAGGTTACTATTGCCCCAGCTGTACCACCAACACTAAAAACAATAAAGAGTATGTTGACATAGGAGAGCATAAATTCTAGCCAGAAAAAGGAAGGATGTATCCAGATTCTATTTCACATGACCTAAAGCTGATATATTCAAATATCAAATTTGGTTGTTGAGTTTATATTCATTTTTTATCAACACTCCTGGTACTTGGTATCATAGTCATAGGAGTAAAACTGATATTGAAGATATTTTTAAAATGATGAATTGAAATGAAAATTTTTGTGTATATGACATGAATATGTTTTGCCAATAGCTTAGGAAGACTTTTTAGAACACACTTGTAACCCATTATGGTTTTTGAAGACCTCAAGTTGTGTCTCCAGGCAAGGTTAGATGCATGAGTGAATTTTCAGCGAATATAGGAAAAATGCAGGGTCAATGTTATGTATAAACTTATATTCCAAAACCTTTATTTCTGGGTGCAACAAGCAATGAATAGGAAGTGTTGTGCTGGCTTTTCACAGCTGGGTGACAGAGGTGTCCGGGCTAAAATGAACCATGGCAATTAATACTTGGCTGTGAATGAGTACACAGAAAAAGAATAGACACATAAACCTGAAGATTACGAGAAGATGTGATCACCAGAAACATTTGTAAATACGTACACACGCCACCGGAGAACAGAGAGAAATACATGTACAGTACAAATTTCACACAGTGAATTCATTGATTCCTCTGTTTTACACAAAACAACTTAATCTTCCGAAACGGAAACATAGTCTCTGACCCTCAAAATTCCAATGACATTGGATGAAGTAGCGAAGGGCAACGGGTATGTTCAATTAACTATGTGAAAATATTTCGATAAAATCCAAAAACCCCACAATTATCGTAGCAACACAACAGCTCGTACAATTAGCTGTCTTTCTCAAAACAAAAAGGCATCGAATTTACGAGAAAAATAGAGTCTTTTGTCCACGAGGAGGTGGCAATCTGTTCGAGTCATAAAATTACTTGAAACGTTTGCAGGGACAAAACTTTATAGCTGACTAATGAAAAACTTCAGAGTGAAAGAAAGAATAATTCGCCAAATGAAATACTAGTGCGAAAGAAGTGTTTAAAAACTTTATTAGTAAATTGTACGCCGTGTAGCTGTGAACAAAGCCCTCTGAGTAACGAGTCAAACGTATTTTCATATCACAGTTTGTGAAGTACCGCGCAGCTGAAACGTCAGTTCATTTTGTATTTTACAACTTACCCTCCAGCAGCGAGATGAACCAGAGCAGACTGATGCGTTGGCCGATGAGATTTCATCCCTTCGTCTTCTAGCATGAAAAAAGCACAGCAATCCACCTCCTACAACGTAAACATACGGAGCGACAGAAAACAAAACGGGCAGTCTAGCGTGTTTCCCAATATACTCTTTTTAAAGCTTGCGTGGTCAAAGTTCACAACTTCCCCGACTGAGCTTCATGCTGTTCACGTGAAACCTGAACGGGTGATTTTTACGCTTATTTCCCAGAAGCACAACAACATGTCTTTTCAAATATAATTCTATTAGAACGGCAATAGTGAACTGTACCCATGCCGTGCAATTTAAGGATTTATTGATCGCTTTATTAAGAGAAAAAAACTGGCATGTTTTGTGGCATCAATTGAACACGTGCTCACGTTAATTCCAACACGCACAAGGCCGTCACTGAAATACGATATCTAATTGGTTATTTGGCTGACCTTCTTATAAAATGGTTCTTTGTGCAAAATATCACGTTTGTTGTTGAAATACTTTTACTAGCCAGTTATGGAACCGATAGGAAGTCATTTGGTTTTGTCGCAAATCGCAAACGCGAATTACTTTTCGTGATAGAAAATTAAGAAAATTACATACGAGACATGCTATATTGCATAACTGCGGAATAAATTAACTGTGGTTGCATAACATGGGCCATGGGGGCGGGGAAGGGGACGGGGACGTAGCGCCAGCCATGATTGGCCGGAATTTAGGGTAATACTAAGCTCAATCGCATGTCTAGTGGGAGCCAGTGAACTCTAATATATCTGGAACGATGTATTAGAGTTCACTGGTGGGAGCATATCTGCGGACGCGACGCGCTGCGCTAGCGGGCCCCATTCGTAGGACTGCAAATATTTTTATGTCCGTACGTTTGTAAATAAGGGCTTTCTCCCAGGGGTGCCCAATAACAAATTGGGATTTTACGAAAAGACCAAATTTTGCGTTTCCGAATCAAGGCTATCATATTCCCCAAACTTATTAGTCCTTTGCCTCAATGGATAACCCCCCCCTTCACCTAATGTCTCACACTGGATTAGAGAACTTTAGCAAAGCGCGAGATCCACGCGCGAAACACCCAGAAATTTACAATATCAATAATCAATATAAACAAAATATCTACAAAAGACCATTCATAGGCAAAACATGGAATATGACAATATTTTAAGGAAGATCGGTGAGTTTGGACCGTTTCAGAAGAAAGTGTTTTTCATCCTGAACAGTCTATCGTTTTTTCAATGTTGTCAAATGTTTCTATTGGTGTTCGTGGGGGACAAGCCACGTTGGCGTTGCTCAAATGTGGCGATTAAACCATATCTCGACAAGAACCTGGAATATCCTTGTTTAAAAAACGGCTCTGCCTGCCGCGAAATCAGCTTTGATGGCGAGTTTACAAGCGTGGTTTCGGAATGGGATTTGGTTTGCGATCAGGAGTACAAAGCCAACATCGCTCAGTCAGTTATGATGCTGGGCTGTTTGATTGGTGTTATTACAGCCGGTCGACTATCAGACAGGATTGGCAGACGATATGTTACCATTTATTCACAGTTGTTAGCTTTTGCTTTGGGAGTAGTTACCGCGTTTGTCCAAAATTATACGCAATTCCTTTTCGTTCGTTTCCTTTGTGGCCTAGTTGTCGTTGGCGGGAACCTGTCTTGCTTTGTCATTCAAAGCGAAATTATTGGACCGTCATACCGAGGTGAGCTTTGAAAGAATACGTCATTACTTCCTGGACAAAAAAATATTTTAAACTTCGTTCTATAAGGTTGAAATTCTTGGTGAAAGTTACAACTATGCTTTTGTAAACAAAGCTTCTGATTGGTCTGGGAATAAAAAAGAACCAATCAGTGTGCAGAATGAAGTTCAGAATATTGTGATGGTAGTGGTCTGAATAAACAACCTGGGGCAAGCTGAAATATTAGCCTGGCTGACTATGGGGAGAAATTAATTTGGTAGTTGGTAGGTTAGATTTCCACCATGGTCATGCAAGCTAACTTTCAGCTTGAGTCATGCACACAATCAATTGTATGCATAATATAATGAATATTAGGAAGAATTGAGGATAGGAAGTATAGATATCTTTCCATGCTATTCTAATTCTATTTTCATATCTGGGCTACTTTATAGGAAAAGTTTTGACAATTTCTCAAATATTTTATTCCCTTGGTTTCGGTGTGTTCTCACTGATGGCATATCTTTTTCGCGACTGGCGTCAAATGACCGTTGTTGTCTCTCTTCCTGGAGTCCTTTATGTAATGTTATTTGCAAAGTCAATTCCTGAATCACCAAGATGGCTTTTAGCCAAGGACAGAATCTCTGAAGCTGAAGTAATTCTTACAAAAATTGCAAGAAGAAATGGTACGACATTTGACAAAAAGCTTATACAAACCGAACCTCGAGAACTAAAGTCAAGGTCAAAAAATTATGGCATACTCACACTACTAACGCACAAATGTCTTCGGTTGAAAATGGTCATACTAATGTTTGTGTGGCTCATCAACAGTATGGTTTATTATGGATTATCATTTAATTCAAAAAACATGGAAGGCGATAGATACTTAAATTTCTTCCTTTCCGGTCTAGTTGAAATACCTTCGTACTTGCTTGCTGTGCCAATGATTGACAGGTTAGGCCGTCAAAAGTCCTTGTTTCTTACTGTGACGTTAGGATCTATTGGTTGCCTTGTATGTGCATTTGGGCCAGCATATTTTGCTACCGCTACAGCCAACGTAGGGAAATTTGGCATCTCATCTTCCTTTGGAATTTTATATGTATACTCTGCAGAACTTATCCCAACTGCTGTGCGAAACTTTGCAATGGGCACATGTTCAATGACTGCACGTATTGGGGGTATTTTGGCACCATTCATTGTGACGCTTGCCATTGTGGATAAAAAACTTCCAATGTTGCTGTTTGCTGGAACTGGTATATTTGCTGGATTAATTGGCCTGTTTTTGCCAGAGACATTGAACCACCCAATTGCTGAAACATTGGATGAATTAGAAACTAGCCAGGAAAACCAAAAACTGGTGACAATTTTATAACTTATAATATATTAAATAAATATATAAATATATTAAATAAATAAAATAATTATTAAATATATTCATTGGCCTGTTTTTGCCAGAGACAAATATAATAATTGGCCTGTTTTTGCCAGAGACATTGAACCACTCAATTGCTGAAACATTGGATGAATTAGTAACAGGCCAGGAAAACCAAAAACTGGTGACAATTTTATAATATATTAAATAAATATATTAAATAAATAAAATAATTATTAAATATATTCATCTTGAAACAAGAGCTGTATTAAAGTAGGAAATTGTGAATCAATATATGTAGTTCTGTAAGTTTGTGAGGGGGGGGGTTAAGTGTGGGGGTGTCAATAACTTATGAATAGAACCAAGATGAGATATTTGAGTTTGCAATAACTTTAACCCTGCTCTAAACCCATCAAAAATTGTGGGGTGTTAAGACCATATGGTCTCAGGCATTTACAATATTATGCTAGCAAACCAAAGTTTGCAACTTTCATTCCCTTCTTGGTCTAGAAAATTCTCTAACCATAATAGGCATGAATTCCATACATTGCATGCCTTGTCATCCTTAGAGTTCTCTCTGTTTTCTTAAAATGATTGCAGCGACTGTGATTTCCTTTGGAGGTTTTCAACAAATACACAATTCTACGTCTATTATTTCTATATCAAATACTTGTGTGCAAATGTGATGGGGCCCTTTGGACTACATATGACCATTGGCATATCACAGAGCAGCAGAAAATAATACTTCAAATAAATGCAGAATACGAACTTGTGCTCTTTCTTACGATCCAATTGCAATATTTATTTCTTGACTATAAACAAAGCATATTCTCACATTACAAATCAAAGTAAATACAAATTTTTACACAATATACATTGTACAAACGTGCATAATGGCATACCTACAAATTTTCTACATATTCATAAAGTACATAACTATATGTATATATTCACACACTATATTTTTAAGCATGGTCCTAAGCATTGTGACATCATGCTAATACTATTACACAATGCCAATAAATGAATACAGAAATTTATAGTTCTATTGTCAATTTACTGTATTGGTGGTGCTGGAGGTGTTGGTCCTGGACCCTTGAGAATAAAATAAAAAATATTCATATACGTTGTTGAAAATGCATTTATAGACCTATTGCTTTGTCTTAATCCCTAAATGTTGTCCATCAGATGCTTCTATGAAATTTATGTTTTTATGTTGTCTTAGTAAAAAAGATGGCAAATGTGAAACATTTATATGGAAAACAAAAACAGCAACCAAGCAATGGTCCTCCAATAGTAAATATTTCTGTATTCAACTGAAAATCAGCATTTTCAAAATTAATGCCGCATTTGTGTATCATCACATTAGTTCACCTGGTTTGTTGGTTTTTCATTTCCAGACTGCCTCATGTTCTGTGGTCTAAGTAAGAATAATATAACCGCAGCAACCAACCAACCCATCAAGAGTACCATCATGCTAAAACCACCATTTCCTTCATTCCCTTGAGGACCAGGGGCTAACAAATAAATAACACAAGTCATATAGGTACAATTAGACTATAAAAGAGAAAATTTAAAGACCCAGGTTAGTGTTAAAAATCTCCCACATTGTTTGCCAATGATGTTCAATGTCAGAAGTGACCACAATGGACCATTCCCCTATTAAACTAAATTTAAAACTAGGAATTTTAATCAGTACAGCCGGAAAAAGCATCCCAAAATTAGTAAATCGGAAAATTTTGTGGCTAAATGAATACTTCAGGCACTATTAGTTAAACAAGTTTTAAAATCCCCAACTAATCAGACACAAACAACATCAAACAAAATGATCTAACATAAGTAGTGGCCAGCATTTTTAGATGTCAGATCGACATGACATGCTAGTCTTATTTTAACAGACTTTTAGGATAAGATTAGGGCAATGTTAGACTTGCTCAAATTAGGCCTTTAAGTCTTTCAGATGGTTAGATGAGGGTAATACTTAAATTGGTTGAAGAAAAGGGCTACATTTTGGGTGGACTGACACATTTTGAGTTTGGGACTAGTTAAAATTGGGATAAAGTTTATAATTGAATGTGATAAACAAGCATCTAAAATTAGAAGCAATGTGCGTGACAGTTTTTGGTACAAAGAATCTTAATTTGTGCATACACCTGCTCTATATACACAGAGAGTTTTTTCCTTGGGGTTATAAGTTAGGATAAATTAAGATAATTAAAGGTAGAAACTTAAGACACTAATCGTGAGGGTCAGGGGAAATATACTAGAGGTGAGCAAAATATTCATTTTACGTGAATTATGGAAAATGTCAAAATTTAATAATGGTAATATGAATATTAATGTTATTTATATACGTACGTTCCATAAAACATTCATTATCGGTACAATAACTTTGCGAGCTTCGTAGCTATATCGTGAAAAAATACATCTTTTTTAGCGATATACTTTACCTAAGTAATTTGCGAGTATCGATTGCCATCAAAACAATACGTAATGACATTTAAATGCTCTAACTCTCTCTCAGAAAACCCATTGATCACTTGATAATATCACAACTTAGCAGTCTGAGCTAGATTAGGCTTCAAATATCCACAGAAAAACTACTTTAAAGTAAAATCTGTCGACTTACAAGTGAAATCAAACGCCTCATCGCCCCATCGTAACTGCAAATACATTCACAGGGATCAAATCCACCGTCTCCTCCTTCCATGACACCGGAATTATTTTTATACAATACAAAACTCAAGCCGAATAATTCTTACGTCGTTTCTACTTGCCGGAACGATTGCCCAAATAAAAAGCTTTCTGGTTGTTCTTGATACTCGAAAAAGAAGCAACGACAAGAACGAATAAAGCTTCTTTAGGTTTTCAGCCCATCACAGGTAGAAATAAACGTTCTTTATAAATAAATGTTAATTTTTTCAAGGCAGCTTGTGTTGTGTTGTGAGCACGCCACGTATAAACAATGCCTCCCCCCAGAATTGAAATGGCCGGGGAAAAAACCCAGGAAGATTTTCATACCCCGAGGGGGGAAGGAATAGCACTTGTTAGCCGGAAATAATTTTATTTTTATAAATAAAATGTCTATAATTATCTTCATTTGAGAAAAGGTGCATTTCTAGGACGAAAGAGACATTTTTATTGCTTTGAAAGTGAATTTACTATTTCATGTAACGATGACCAACTTTGCAGAGACCTGTGGTCGGTTGTTCGAAAGGTGGATAAAAGTTACCATTGGATTTATTGGATAGCGATTTTTCAACCGTCCTAAAAAAGCTATAAAGCTACATATATCAAATATATAATTATAAAAACTATTCTGACTTTAAACTTGTGAAGTTCAATTTTGCGCTAAAGTTGAAGGAACGTCTAAATCCTTACTGTTGCCTTAAAAACTAAGTGAATAAATCGAAGCAACTTAGTTTTCTGCATATTTTAGTATGCATTAGTTGACCTAGATGTTAAATAATAAAAAGTTAAAAGCATTTAAAATATTCCGTACGTGTACGTGCGTATAAAAAACGAGTAAGTGGGGAAAGCAGTCTTATAGGAAAATCCGAACATTAATTAATCAAGACGTTTAGCTTCAATTAGGCTACTTTTTTGAGCGGCCTTACCCTTTAGGTCGCATTTCGTTCGCGTCAATTGCAATCGCGTTAACTTTAATGGCTCGTCTACACGAGAAATTTTACCCTTTCAGTAAATCCGGAAGAATTGATAAGTTGCAGGTGTTCAGAAAAAAAACGCTTCTAATTCAGAGCATTCATGACTATCAACATGTTCACTCAAAAGAAGAAAATTGCGGAATCACGGTTCTATGTGCTTGTAAACAGGCCGAGAGCTAGACATTATAAATAATAAGATACGGTCGTATAACGCCTTTATACCTTTGATCAGTCATTTTGACTGAAGAAAAACAACGACCTGAAGACTTTCTAAACTGGCCTTTTATAATAAAATTTGAGTGGATCTTGAAGACGCCCTATGCAAAGTAGTGTGATTCACACTATCCAATCAACGTTGTATATTATACAAGTGTTGGCGTTAGAAGCTCGGTCCAGCTCTCGTATTTTGTTTACTTAAGGGCGTTGTCGAACTAGTCGAGTTGTGACACTTGAACCTTGTACGACAGTACTATTGTTTGGGAGGAAATCCCATGGGCTGTCACCTCATGACAGGAAAAGTTATTTTGTGATTCCGAAGGGTGATTCATAATAATATTTACTTTACACGTCATTTTATGTGACATGTTGCCCAAGTAATTTCCTCATCGATATTGAGCTTGCTAAATACATTCATTGTATATGCGCATTTCGTAACACTTGTGTCAAGCCTCAAAATGCAAGGCCATTTCCCAGCTGTCAGATTAGTATGATGAGCTTTCAAAAGATTGTCAACAATAAAGTTATTCAAAGTTTTCTTTTTAATAGCGATACAGAAATGCACAATTGTGGGCCAATGATTAGAGTTTCGGATTAGAGTTTGCTGTGAACGATGCAACAGTTTAGGTGTATTCGAAGACTATCAAATATATTGGCCCCTTCATTCAATGAAAGTGTTTTCACGGTTATTATAAACAGCCCTTGGCAGGGTAATGTCACAGATTACCCAGATGTCTCACTTCTGATTAAAAAAGCGTAAGCGCTTGCTCAGCAAGTGACTAGAGGCATTCCCCCCACCGAAAATTCAAAATGGAGCCGAACTATTTTATACATGAAAAAAAACCTCCTCTTATTTGCTAGAGAAGGCGACTGTGTAGTTACGTTTGTGTCTGAATCCATCATCATCTATACGCGCTTTGGAAAAGTGAGTTTAGAGTACCTCGTTTTCAATATTGTACGATTGTTTTATCTTTTTTCGATTGTCGTAGGAGCGGAAAATTATAAGCAGTAGAAATCTCCATAATTTCAAACATATTTCTTTTAAAAAGTGTTTGAATATCTTTACATTGAATGGAACTTCCTGTACAAATCAATAAATGTACATATATTCCGACTCATTTGACATATCGTGCAGTTTTTCACTTCAATTCAGTTCGTCTCCATTTTGAAATTTTATTTCGGGGGGGTGAATGCCTCTAGTCACTTGCTAAGCGTGCGCAGAAAGCGATGCGCAGTGACGAATCGCTTACGCTTTTGAGTCAGAAGTGAGACATCTGGGTGTTAATCTGTGGTAATGTCGCAGCTCCTCGCAAGAATAATTTTCATTGGCTGAACTTTAAAATATATTTATGTCTCAACCAATAGCATAGCTTCGTTCTTTAGAAAGCATAGAAAAGCATTATCCAATTAATTGGACGAAAGCTCTCGAGAGCTGCGACATGTCCCTTGGCAATTGACGTAGTCACAAATTTTCATTATATGTTGCATAGTTCAAAGACTTTCTTATTTTTTGAAAATTTGCAATTGACAAAATATATGGCGGCGAAATCTGTGCCTAGCATCGAACATTTTCTCAACCTCCTTGGTGGCTACCGAATGTCCTATGCTATGTTCGCTGCCCTGAATCATGGGGTATTTGAATATATTGAGAAGAGCGATGAGGGACGAACGGCTGAACAAACAGCAAAAGATTTGACCCTCGACGAGACTGCCACTACAGTTTTACTCGACACTTGCACCAGCGTGGACCTTCTTGTGAAGGATATACCGAACGGAAAAGTGGAGAATGCCCGCTATTCAAACTCGGAACAAACTAAGCGATATCTTCTCCAAAAAGGTTCAGAGACATTTTATGGATATGCCCTACACGTGGCAAGAAATGCTTGTAAACTCACCTCAAATTTTGAATACACCCTTAAAGAAGGGACAAATCAATGGGAGCGAACATTTGGGTTGTCGTCTGAAAAATGTTTTGACAACTTTTATAGGAGTAGGGATAAATTGATCGAGTTTGGAGATGCAATGGATAGCATGTTGAAGATATCCATGCCTTCGGTACTCACTCCTTTTGATCTCTCTGGATTTAGCCATCTTTGTGATCTTGGAGGTAAACATGATATTTTGATATGATCTAAAGACTAAAATATGACTTACGGTACAGACCTGATAACAAAGATGATAAAACTCCGAATATTTAGCGGGATGTTTAACCTAGATCTTCAATATTATGATTTTGCCTGGTTCGAACGAGGAATTTTATCTCTGGTTTAAAGATCGTATCTCAGGCGCTTCGAGTGTACTGCTCGTTACGCTTTGCAATTTTGCAGTATGAGAGCCTTTTCACTTATGTATGAGAACATTCCTATTTCCTAACTATTTGCATTTTCATCAAAAGAAATCGCACGAAAAATTACCGCAATACATTGGTTATTGCGTTGTTTAAAGCTGGTTTTCCACTAGCGATATTCTTCGCGCGAAGCGACTTTATTCCTTTGTATTTGAGCAATTTGTTCCAGATGGTTGCAGTTGAGAGCTCTGAAACAAAAGTAAAATGTCGCTTCGCGCGAAAAATATCGCTAGTGGAAAACCGGCTTAATCGAAGAGACTTGTTCCTACACTTAGCCGAGATTTAACGAAGCAAGAGATGACTTTGTGTTCAAACGAGTATATAACACGATCCTCGAAGTCGCGTGTAGTCGTTAAACAATATAACATGTACTTGTTTGGTTTCATAACGTTGGTCAGTTTAATATTTTTCATACCACAAAATCATCTCACGTTTTGGTTAAATCTCGGCCAAGGTGGCGGATCATGTAAACGGTCTTTTCGTTCAATGTATTGCCGTAATTTTTGGTACTTTTTTTATAAAGGTTAATGTGCATCAATGAAAGACTGTCTAACGCTTCGTTGAATTTTGGGTAACCGCAGACCTTTGTAAAAAGCCCCAGGGTTCACCGTTCATGGGGGTGGTTATCGCATCTATATAGTCTCGGACTGCAATGTTATTCAAAGTTAAAATAATCGACTTCTAATGAAATGAATAATTATTAGTCAACTAAGAATTAATCGTCTCACAACTAAATGATCATTCACTCGATATGTTACATAATCCGAGTTTGATCCACTTTAGACAAACTGAAATTTTATTGCCCGTGCCCTTCAAATCAATCAAATGAAATGATTTTCAAGTTTTGAAAACGGTTTGCAAGAAATAAGGTTCTCTGCTCTGCTCAGTGTCTGTTAGTTATGAATCAGAAGATATCAATGATGTATTTGTTTAAAACGTAGGTTCTGGTGGCACATTGTCCTACGCTGCTGTGAAAGCCTATCCAAACATGAGGTCGACTGTTTTTGAGCTGCAATCAGTTGTTGACGTCGCCGACCATTTCCGACCATCTGCCGAAGATTGTCCCAACAGGGATAATGTCTCATTTGTGGCGGGAGATTTCTTCAAGGATGACCTGCCACCAGCTGATCTTTACAGTTTGGTCCAAATAATTCATGACTGGGACGAGGAGAAAATAGATTTGCTCTTGGGCAAAGTTTACGCAAGTCTTCCTTCTGGTAAAAACATTAATTCCGATACAATCTTCTCTAAAAAAAAACCGCTGAATGACAGAATGACAAATAACAGAAAAGATTATCATCCCCAATTCTAGATTTGCAGATATTTTGAGCTGTTTTTTGTTATCTCGTCTAATCGTCTCGACATTTTCTTATCCAGGCGGAGGTATTCTGATTGGCGGCGTAATCCTTGATGACGACAAGCGTGGACCAGCCCTGAACGTTTCCAACAGCATCACCATGCTTTCTATTTGCTCTGGGGGTCGTGAGAGATCTGGGAAAGAGTATGAGCAGCTGCTGACCAAGCATGGCTTCGCTGATGTCCAGTGCCACCAGAACCCAGTTCCTTGTCTTCTCGGTGGAGTGTTTGCAAGGAAACCATAACAATCATAATCCTCATTTTCAATACAGATGTATCTTTCAGGGGCCGATGGTTCAAAAGCCGCTTAGCTTAACCAAGCCTGAGTTAAAACTTTCAATCACTTGTTTACAAAGTTGAATATATTTTTCCATAAATATTTTCTGGACCGTCCGGTTCATAAGCCATTAAACGGAAACAGTGGAATAAAATTTAACACAGGGTTAGCTGAAAAATTGAATTTTTACTCACTCAAATTGAATTTTTACTCTCTTTATTTGGATGAAAAAATCATTTATAAAGAAATAAAAACATATAAACGCTGGTTTTGGCTGGTTTCCATTTTAATTAATTGCAGCTAAATTTACTGCGCACGACTGAGAACAGTCAAAGCACGATAATGCGAAGAGTGCAACTTTAAGCCCCGAAATGACGACTTCACAGCTGTCAGATGTGTATGACGAGCTGTCAAAAGATTGCAGAAGACGTATACAGAAGAAAAATTAAACTTTTTAAATTTATTCAGTAGTTTTCTCTATGATGGCGATACAGAAATGCACAGTTGTGAAACAGTGCATGATTGGATACTCGGTTTGAAAACTTCATAGCACCAATCAATTCTGCGGTTACATATATTGGGCCCTTCCACGAAAGTATTTTCTCGGATAAAAGTCCATGGAAAAGCGATCCATGCTCTTATGACGGTGTCCTTACCCACCGTACTTGGTCCCTTCGACCTTTCCAGATTCAACCATCTTTGTGATCTTGGAGGTAACATTCATCTGGGAACCCCCATGCATCTTACCGGTGCGGTGTTTGCAAGGAAGCCATGCATGAGCCTCGTTTTCGGCGATGAACTTCCAATGTCAACATCCATTATTCAATAACATTAAATGCTGGGTGAAATGTCTGGATAAAAAAGATCAAACTTAATCTATTTATTATGGAACTATTTAACATAATTACTATAGTTCCACCCCGGAAATTGTCAAGACTTTGCTAAGACGCAATTCTCAATACTTAAAAGCTTCAAACTTGGCGAGAAAAATTTTTTCAATTACTCAACAAAACATGTCTTGCACAAAAGATTTTAAGCTTGCACACGGTAAAAACGAATCGTCTGAATTAATAACTTTGCATGTGTTTGCTTTAAACCTCAAAAATTAAATGACCACTTCACAGCTGTCAGATGTGTATGATGAACCGCCAAAAGATTGCAGAATACGTATTCAGAAGAGAAATTGAACTTCAGTTTTTAAAGTTATGCAGTATAGTTATCTCTGTGATAGCGATACAGAAATGCTCAATTGTGGGCCAGTGATTAGATTTTCGGCTTGAAACTTCATAAACACCAATAAGTTTTGTGGTGTAGACTATTACATATACGTACACCACTGCATATATTGGCCCCTTTCATGCACGAAAGTATTTTCACGGATAAAAACCCTTGCAACCAAGAAGCCCTTAGCTATTGACGTCATAGATTTTCATTATATGCTGCATAGTTCAGAGACTTTCCATTTTTCGAAAATTTGCACTTGACTTAAATATGGCGGCGAATTCTGTGCCTAGCATCGAACATGTTCTTAACCTCCTTGGTGGCTACCGAATGTCCTTTGCTATGTTTGCTGCTCTGAATCATGGAATCTTTGAATATCTTGAGAAGAGCGATGAGGGACGAACGGCTGAACAGACAGCAAAAGATTTGACCCTCGACGAGACTGCCACCACAGTTTTACTCGACACTTGCACCAGCGTGGACCTTCTCGTGAAGGATATACCGAACGGAGAAATGGTGAATGCTCGCTATTCAAACTCGGAACACACCAAACGATATCTTCTCGCAAACAGTCCAGAGTCGCTGTATTCATTCGCTATACTTATGTCTTGAATCGGCACAAAACATATCGTAAATTTTGCGGAACACGTCATAAAAGAAGGGGAAAATCAACAGAACACGGAGCAAGTACTTGAGCTGTCGTCAAAAGAACCCTTCGAAAATTTGTGCAAAACTAAGGATAAAATGATCGCGTTTGGAGAAGCGATGCATGCTCTTATGACGGTGTCCTTACCCACCGTACTTGGCCCCTTCGACCTTTCCAGATTCAACCATCTTTGTGATCTTGGAGGTAACATTCATCATAACATATTCTTAAGAGGCTTTAAAGTGTGGCATATGTTTTGAGAAATTTAACGCGGGGTTTTCTATTCATATCACCTCATGTTTTTGGTTAAATACGCCCGACCAAGCTGTTGATATCCGTTATCGAACAGCACGAATTAGCACCACAGATTAATACCCAGATGTCTCGCTTCTGACTAAAAAGCGTAAGCGATTCGTCACTGCGCATCGCTTGCTGCGCATGCTTAGCAAGTGCCTAGAGGCATTCACCCCCCCCCCCGAAATGCTTATTTCAAAATGGAGCCGAACTGAATTGAAGTGAAAAACTGCACGATGTGTTCAAATGAAGCGGAATATATGTACATTTATTGGTTTTTACAGGAAATGCCATTCAATGTGAAGATATTCACACACTTTTTATATGAAATATGTTTGAAAATATAACGTCGAACAGGGATTTCTACATTTCCGCTCCTACGACAATCGAAAAAAGATAAAACACTCGTACAATATTGAAAACGAGGTACTCTTAACTCACTTTTCCAAAACGCGTATAGATGATGATGGATTCAGACACAATTTTAACCTCACAGTCCATTGCTCTAGCAAATGAGAGGAGTTTATTTTTCATGTATAAAATAGTTCGGCTCCATTTTGAAATTTCTGGGGGGTGAATGCCTCTAGTCACTTGCTGAGCAAGCGCTTACGCTTTTTTAATCAGAAGTGAAACATCTGGGTAATCTGTGCTAGCACTTCAAGTGCGATTGCTGAAATCCTTGAAATTTAAGATAGCGTAACAATAATAATTCCATGCAGTCAAATATTTTATAAAAAAGTCCCATGTATAAGTCCAGAGTTCAAAACTATACTTATATTCTATTAACCGCCACGACTCGTTTCCGATATATTTTCTCAATGATTAAGTTATATCAAATTCAACCGAGTACCACTCGCCGACAAAATCCAATGCATTTGTTATATGAATAAGGTCGTTTTTGCTTTTGGACCATGCAATAGTACGACAAGCAGAGAGACACTTTGTCGCCATATTAAGCAAGATCTTTTTGTTATAACTGTAGTCTTTAGTCTACCTGATGTCAAATCGCAAGATCCGATTGAATTGGCAGAATTTGGGTTACTTCATGTGATCTTCTATTATTTCAATTCCTACTACAAATCGCCATTTTAAAATTAGTTTACAGTCGCAGCGATATAGTGCATTGACCGACTGGGGTCGCACAAGAAACAAATTCAAATTGAGATGGCCCAATGCTCCATAAAATAAAGGAAATTGATTAGTCGAATTTTTTCGAAAATCTTCTATTGAGTGTAAATTAATTACGCATGCGTACCACCAACCTCAACTTGTCCCTAATTTCTAGCAATGGTGCTTGTTTTAAGCATAGGTTCTGGTGGAACATTGTCCTACGCTGCTGTGAAATCCTACCCAAAGATGAAATCGACTGTCTTCGAACTTCAACAAGTCGTCGACATCGCCGACCATTTCCGACCATCTGCCGAAGAGTGTCCTAACCGAGACAAGGTCACATTTGTGGCGGGAGATTTCTTCAAGGATGACCTGCCACTAGCAGATCTTTACAGTTTGGTTCAAATACTTCACAGCTGGGACGAGGAGAAAATCGATCTCCTACTGAGTAAAGTTTACGTGAGTCTACCTTCTGGTAATTTTTTTTCTAATTTTTTTGCGGTGCAGTTGGTTAAAAAAATGCCGGTAGATGGAACGCTGGCTGATAGCTCGAAATTTGATCAATGACATACACGAAGGACGTTTGTTCTGTACCTGGAGACTTTTCCTAGAGCAGTCTGGGCAGAAATGCATGAATATAATATAAATATAAACAACCCCCTATGTATCGCCTAAGTCGGCCATTCGTGCTAAAGGACCCAGATAATAAACACGATATGGATTGGCTTGTCTGCCATCACTCTGTCGCGTCTATTTCATACCAATCTTATAAACGATGTATTGTAGTTAGGACAGAGTGATTCTCAGGCTACTGTAATACCTAACAACTCTATTAACATACCTTAATCTTTAGGCGGAGGTATTTTGATTGGTGCATTTATCCCTGACGACGACATGCGGGGTTCTTCCTTGGACGTTTCCTACAGTATGCTCATGCTTTCTGTTTGCCCTGGCGGTCGTGAGAGGTCTGGGAAAGAGCATGAACAGCTGCTGACCAAACATGGCTTCGTTGAAATTCAATGTCGACAAAGTGGGATCCCACATCTTGCCGGTGCGGTGTTTGCAACAAAGCCATGAACCTCGTTTTCGGCGACGAACTTAACGGGGGATGTCATCCCATGCAGAATATCTAACATCCATTTTTCAATAACATGTAACGCTAGGTGAAATAGGGAATGGCCGAGTAGATCGTACCTAAACATTTCTTGTTCATAATAACTTTTATCGTTTAGTTATCAGAATTCATAATAACTTTTATCGTTTAGTTATCAGAATTTTTGTTGCAGGTTTAATTCCAGATTTAATTAGAGTTCAGAAAAAGTTCCAGGTTTAATTTCAGGTTTATTTATAGTTCACTGGTTCAATTCTCGTCAGTCATCCTGAGCATGCAAAGCTCGCAAAAGAGGACTAGAGACTAATCAGTAAAATTACTAAATTTGTAACGGTTTTTATTGTACTAGAAAATTCCAACGGCATGAACGACCAATCAGAATCATTTCTAATTTCGATAATCCCAGGGCCTTTGTTTGCTCGACAGAGTGGTTTGGAGAACGAGATTGGCATTTCCGTTTAATTCCAGGCTTATTTACAGTTCACTAGTTGAATTCTCGTCAATCATTCTGAGCATGCAAAGCTCGCAAAAGAGGACTAGAGACTACTTGTTTGTTTTGTTTCCTCGCCAGAGTGGTTTGCAGAACGAGATTGGTATTTCCGTAGAAAATATCGTGAGGCTCAGTTTGCAACATTGCAGTCTGCAGACACAGTCAAGTTTTAAAAGAAATGGAATCCCATATTGCCTCTGCATCAAACGTGAAACACGTTCTCGACCTCATTGGTAGCTACCGAGTGCTTTATAGTTTTTTCGCCGCACTGAATAATGGAGTATTTGAATACCTTAAGAAGAGCGACGAAGGACGAACCGTGGACCTTCTTGTGAAGGAAATACCGAACGGAGAAATGGTGAATGCTCGCTATTCAAACTCGGAACACACCAAACGATATCTTCTCGCAAACAGTCCAGAGTCGCTGTATTCATTCGCCATACTTATGTCGCGAATCGGCACAAAACATATCGTAAATTTCGCGGAACACGTCATAAAAGAAGGGGCAAATCAACAGAACACGGAGCAAGTACTTGAGCTGTCGTCAAAGGAACCCTTCGAAAATTTGTACAAAACTAAGGATAAAATGGTCGCGTTTGGAGAAGCGATGCATGCTCTTAAGCCGGTTTTCCATTAGCGATATTTTTCGCGCGAAGCGACTTTATTCCTTTGTATTCGAGCAATTTGTTCCAGATGGTTGCAGTTGAGAGCTCTGAAACAAAAGTAAAATGTCGCTTCGCGCGAAAAATATCGCTAGTGGAAAACCGGCTTTATGACGGTGTCCTTACCCACTGTACTTGGCCCCTTCGACCATTCCAGATTCAACCATCTTTGTGATCTTGGAGGTAACATTCATCTGGGAACCCCCATGCATCTTGCCGTTGCGGTGTTTGCAAGGAAGCCATAAGCCTCGTTTTCGGCGACGAACTTCCATTGTCAACATCCATTATTAAATGCTAGGTGCATGAAATTGGTTGGTTTACAATTGCCGCTATCTTGGTTGATTTTTCAAAACATGTGCATAAATAAAGAGATGATAAGCAGTTACAAATAAGCAAGGAAAAAGTAAATCAACAACGTCTGTTCTCTAGAAAAGCAGAAGTAAACTTTGTAGAGTCGACCAAGATTCCAGACATTCGTTTTATCTAAATCCTGGATAAAAAAGATGAAGCTTAATCTATTTATTATATAACTATTTAATATAATTATACTATAGTTCCACCCCGGAAATTGTTAAGACTTTGGTAAGATGCCATTCTCAATACTTAAAAGCTTCAAACTTGGCGAGAAAAATGTTTTCAAATACTCAACAAATATGTCTTGCACAAAAGATTTTAAGCTTGCACACGGCAAAAACGATTCGTCTGAATTAATAACCTTTTATGCTTTAAACCTCAAAAATTAAATGACCACTTCACAGCTGTCAGTTGTGTGTGATGAACCGCCAAAAGATTGCAGAATACGTCGTATTCAGAAGAGAAATTGAACTTCAGTTTTTAAAGTTATGCAGTATAGTTATCTCTCTGATAGCAATACAGAAATGCACAATTGTGGGCCAGTGGTTAGATTTTCGGGTTGAAACTTCATAAACACCAATACGTTTTGTGGTGTAGACTATTACATATACGTACACTACTGCATATATTGGCCCCTTTCATGCACGAAAGTATTTTCACGGATAAAAACCCTTGCAACCAAGTAGCCCTTAGTTATTGACGTCATAGATTTTCATTACATGTTGCATGCATAGTTCAGAGACTTTCCATTTTTCGAAAATTTGCACTTGACTTAAATATGGCGGCGAATTCTGTGCCTAGCATCGAACATGTTCTCAACCTCCTTGGTGGCTACCGAATGTCCTATGCTATGTTTGCTGCTCTGAATCATGGAATTTTTGAAAATCTTGAGAAGAGCGATGAGGGACGAACGGCTGAACAGACAGCAAAAGATTTGACCCTCGACGAGACTGCCACTACAGTTTTACTCGACACTTGCACCAGCGTGGACCTTCTTGTGAAGGAAATACCGAACGGAGAAATGGTGAATGCCCGCTATTCAAACTCGGAACACACCAAACGATATCTTCTCGCAAACAGTCCAGAGTCGCTGTATTCATTCGCTATACTTATGTCGCGACTCGGCACAAAACATATCGTAAATTTCGCGGAACACGTCATAAAAGAAGGGGCAAATCAACAGAACACGGAGCAAGTACTTGAGCTGTCGTCAAAAGAACCCTTCGAAAATTTGTACAAAACTAAGGATAAAATGGTCGCGTTTGGAGAAGCGATGCATGCTCTTATGACGGTGTCCTTACCCACCGTACTTGGTCCCTTCGACCTTTCCAGATTCAACCATCTTTGTGATCTTGGAGGTAACATTCATCATAACATAATCTTAAGAGGCTTTAAAGTGTGGCAAATGTTTTGAGAAATTTAACGCGGGGTTCTCTATTCATATCACCTCGTATTTTTGGTCAAATAAGCGCGACCAAGCTGTTGATATCCGTTATCGAACAACAAGAAACGATTGCATCTAGCACTTCAAGTGCGACTGCCGAAATCCTTGAAATTTAAGACAGCGTAACAATAATAATTCCATGCGGTCAAATATTTTATAAAAAAAGTCCCATGTATATGTCCAGAGTTCAAAACTATACTTATATTCTGTTAACCGCTCAACCGCTGCAACTCATTTCCAATATGTTTTCTCAACAATTAGGTTTTATTAAATTCAACCGAGTACTACTTACCGACAAAATCTAATGTATTTGTTATATGAATAAGGTCGGTTTTGCCTTTTGGAGCAATATTATGACAAGCATGCAGAGAGACACTTTGTCTGATCATATTAAGCAAGACCTTTTTGTTATAACTGTGGTCTCTAGTCTACCTGAAGTCATATCGCGAGATCCGACTGAATTGGCAGGATTTGGGTTGCTTAATGTGATCTTCTATTATTTCAATTTCTACTACAAATCGCCATTTTAAAATTAGTTTACATCGCAGCAATATAGTGCATTGATCGACCAGGGTCGCACAAGAAACAAATTCAAATTGAGATGGCCCAATGCTCCATAAGATAAAGGAAATTGATTAGTCGAATTTGTTCGGAAATCTTCTATTGAGTGTAAATTAATTACGCAATGGTACTTGTTTAAACATAGGTTCTGGTGGAACATTGTCCTACGCTGCTGTGAAAGCCTACCCAAAGATGAAGTCGACTGTCTTCGAACTTCAACGAGTCGTCGACATCGCCGACCATTTCCGACCATCTGCCGAAGAGTGTCCTAACCGAGACAAGGTCACATTTGTGGCGGGAGATTTCTTCAAGGATGACCTGCCACCAGCAGATCTTTACAGTTTGGTTCAAATACTTCACAGCTGGGACGAGGAGAAAATCGATCTCCTGCTGAGTAAAGTTTACGCGAGTCTACCTTCTGGTAATTCTTTTTTGAATTTTTTGCGGTCCGGTTGTTAAAAAATGCTGGTAGATGGAACGCCGGCAGATAGCTCGAAATTTGATCAATGATATACACAAAGGACGTTTGTACTGTACCTGGAGACTTTTCCTAGGGCAGTCTGAGCAGAAATGCATGAATATATATAAATATTAACAACCCCCTATGTATTGCCTAAGTCGGCCATTCGTGCTAAAGGACCCACAGATAATAAACAGGATATGAATTGGCTTGTCTGCCATCACTCTGTCGCGTCTATTTCATACCAATCTTATAAACGATGCAGGTACATAGACAGAGTGATTCTCAGGCTACTGTAATACCTAACAACTCTATTAACATACCTTAATCTTTAGGCGGAGGTATTTTGATTGGTGCATTTCTCCCTGATGACGACATGCGGGGTTCTTCCTTGGACGTTTCCCACAGTATGCTAACGCTTTCTATTTGCCCTGGCGGTCGTGAGAGGTCTGGGAAAGAGCATGAACAGCTGCTGACCAAACATGGCTTCGTTGAAATTCAATGTCGACAAAGTGGGATCCCATATCTTGCCGGTGCGGTGTTTGCAACGAAGCCATGAACCTCGTTTTCGGCGACGAACTTAACGGGGAATCTCATGTCATGCAGGATATCTAACATCCATTATTCAATAACATTTAATGCTAGGTGAAATAGGGAATGGCCGAGTAAATCGTACCTAAACATTTATTGTTCATTATAACTTTTATCGTTTTGTTATCAGAATTCATAATAACTTTTATCGTTTAGTTATCAGAATTCATAAAAACTTTTACCGTTTAGTTATCAGAATTTTTGTTCCTGGTTTAGTTCCAGATTTAATTACAGTTCAAAAAAAAGTTCCAGGTTTAATTCCAGGTTTATTCACAGTTCACTGGTTGAATTCTCGTCAGTCATCCTGAGCATGCAAAGCTCGCAAAAGAGGACTAGAGACTAATCTGTAAAATTACTAAATGTGTAAGATGTGTAACGGTTTTTATTGTACTAGAAAATTCCAACGGCCTGAACGACCAATCAGAATCTTTTCTGATTTCGATAATCCCAGGGCCTTTGTTTGCTCGCCAGAGTGGTTTGGAGAACGAGATTGGTATTTCCGTAGAAAATATCGCGCGGCCCAGTTTGCAACATTGCAGTCTGCAGACACTGTCAAGTTTTAAAAGAAATGGAATCCCATATTGCCTCTGCATCAAACGTGAAACACGTTCTCGACCTCATTGGTAGCTACCGAGTGTCTTATGGTTTTTTCGCCGCACTGAATAATGGAGTATTTGAATACCTTAAGAAGAGCGACGAAGGACGAACCGCTCAGCAGACAGCAAAAGATTTGACCCTCGACGAGACTGCCACTACAATTTTACTGGACATTTGCACCAGCGTGGACCTTCTTGTGAAGGAAATACCGAACGGAGAAATCGTGAATGCTCGCTATTCAAACTCGGAATACACCAAGCGATATCTTCTCGCAAACAGTCCAGAGTCACTGTATTCATTCGCTCTACTTAATTCGAGGATTTGTATTAAACATGCGGCAAATTTTGAAAATATAATTAAACAAGAAGGAAATCAACGTGACCCAGAGGGAACATTTAAGACATCATCAAAAGAAACTTTTGAAGATCTGTACAAAACTAAGGATCAATTGATCGAGTTTGGAGAGGCGATGCATGCTCTTATGACGGTGTCCTTACCCACCGTTCTTGGTCCCTTCGACCTTTCCAGATTCAGTCACCTTTGTGATCTTGGAGGTAAACAAACATACGTCATAATCTATGAGAGGCAAACGTCATAATCTAAGAGAGGTTATGGCCCCTTAGCTTATGTTTAATTTTGAGAAATTTTGAACTGAAATATATAGTCTCGTTCGCCTTTATTTGGTTACAGATACGCATGACCAAATTGTTTATATTCGTTGCCGAATAACAACAAACGCTTCAAGTTCGAATGCCGAAATCCTTGAAAATTTAAGTTTTTAAGTTGTCATCTGTGTACTACACTGCACAGCCACGGTTAAATGTAATCGATAAGTTAGTCCGCTTTTAATTAATCCGCTTTTAGACCATTAAAGCTAGGAAAGTACTCAACATACTCAAACAAGGCCCAGTGAATTTTTAACTGTTGTCTTGTCTATGCTGAAGTCATGCAGATCGCGATCGGAATTTGAGTTCAATACGTGTCATGTGATCCTCTATTATTTTCCGCTACAAATCACCATTTTAAAACGACCTTGCAATCGCGGTAGTATATAGAAGCGTCCAAAAGTATCGAGTAATTCAGTTTGCTTCCATTTTTCATTTTGTCTGTTGATTGCAATGCAGAGTTACAAGATTGCAATGAGATTGTCAATGCAGAATATTTTAATTCCTCATTTCCTGTTGAAACAAATTCAAATTTGTTTATTCAATGAAATTGCCCGGCATATGGTAAAACGCGGACTGGACTAAGGAGCTGTTCAAATGAGCCCGGTTACCGAGATTTAAGATGGTCTAGTACATTGAAAATCACGATTTATCCTGTTTTAAAAATTTCCATGCAGAGATGCAAACTTAAATGTTTCCGTAATCGATCCTGAATATTTTTTCTCAAAAAAAAATATATGAAGAACGCGAGAATTAAACGAAAAGTTTTACTAATTAGGGTTTTACCCTGAGCTAACAAAAGGGGTCCATTGGCATTGTCTTATAAAGACAATTGGCTGGTGTTTGGTCTGGAAAGTCTGGGTAACTATAGTGTTTGAAGACTTCTACTAGACTTTTTTCACTCGGAGCAACTTGGCTTGCAATATATATGTCATTAAAATATTTTTATATTTTTTAAAATGAAAAAAAAATTTAATGTACTAGAAAGAAATGAACAAAGAAATTTGAGGTATTGAAGAAAGTCTTTGAAACAGAACAATCACATGTTATTGTTAGGATGATTACACGACTACCAGAATCGTGTTATCATTTCAATACCTTTTACGTCAAATACCTTTTAAGTCCAATTTACGCTTCATTAAATCTCGGTAACCGGGCTCATGTCCTTCGTCGTTCCTTCCCCCAAGGATCGCGCATGTTCTGGGTATGAGATTGATGTTAACAGGCTCAAAATTAGTAAATCGCAGAGTGGACTAAATTAGTAAAACGTCCGAAATCGGACCAAATCGAAAAAAGCAATGGTACTTGTTCTAAACATAGGTTCTGGTGGAACATTGTCCTATGCTGCTGTGAAAGCCTACCCAAAGATGAAGTCGACTGTTTTCGAACTTCAAGAGGTCGTCGACATCGCCGACCATTTCCGACCATCTGCCGAAAAGTGTCCTAACCGAGACAAGGTCACATTTGTGGCGGGAGATTTCTTCAAGGATGAACTGCCACCAGCAGATCTTTACAGTTTGGTTCAAATACTTCACAGCTGGGACGAGGAGAAAATAGATTTCCTGCTGAGTAAAGTTTACGCGAGTCTACCTTCTGGTAATTTTGTTCTATATAAAATGCAAATTTTTGTGGTCCGTTTGTATAAATATTCCGGCAGTTGGCCTTGCTAAGTATCTGGGGCCAGTTGTATAAAACTTCTCATTGTAACTAACTACATCAGGGTGGGGTATTTTAATGAATGGCACCATTTTAGACGTCCACAAAAAAGGGCTCTTTGGAGGGTACTTCTTACAGGAAAGGGCAGTAATTTCCATGCGTACCATAGTACAAAAATTGCACACTTTTTCTCTGCCCAGTCATTACGACGAAACGTAATTAGGGAAGAGTGATCCCATTAACAACTCTATTAACATACCTTAATCTTTAGGTGGAGGTATTTTGATTGGTGCATTTATCCCTGATGACGACATGCGGGGACCTCCCTTGGACGTTTCCCAAAGTATGCTTATGCATTCCATTTGCCCTGGTTGTCGTGAGAGGTCTGGGAAAGAGCATGGACAGCTGCTGACCAAACATGGCTTCGTTGAAATTCAATGTCGACCAAGCCCAATCCCCAATCTTGCCGGTGCGGTGTTTGCAAGGAAGCCATGAACCTCGTTTTGGGCGACGAACTTAACGCGGGATCTCATGCCATACAGGATGTCTAACATCCATTATTCAATAACATTTTAAAATCATGTGTTGTATGAAAATTGAATTGTATTGAATTGATTTATTCTATATAGGATTGATTTGTTACTATGGGATTGATTTTTCTCTTGTTCATAAACAAATCAGATTTTTTCAAAAAATATATTCATACTTCAAATAATGCAGATAATTCAAATTTAATAAAACCACAAAACCTTTTATATTAGATTTTTATAGCTAGTTACACTATGTATTTGCTACACTTAGTACTCTACACCATTTCTTGATACCAAACGTCTTATATAGTAAAGTATATACAGTTCACAAAACACTCAGCTATGAGATATGCAATATACGCCATAGGTGCATGTTGATTTCGTAAACCTGATTTATTTACAAATTTTCATATATAGGCACTGAGCTTAAAATATATTGGTAGCTTATTTGAACAGTGGGCATCAATGCTAGGCAAGACGATAACGTTTTCGATAACGTCAACTAATAGACCTTATGCATAATGACGTAACAAGCCGTGACACCTGCAGGGAATTCTGGTCTTAGTAGACAGTAGTCACAGTGGGGAAAATTTGAATTTTTCGCTGTGACTACTAAAACCGGAATTCCCTGCAGGCGTCACGGCTTGATACGTTATTATGCATAAGTCTATTGAAACATTAGGAATGGAAAAATGATTCAATTTATCTGATAATGATTTTTGGGACTTTAAAACCAGTGTTCGACGAGGCGATCTAAAATCAACGAGATTAAACTTATTTGAAAACCATCCTAGTATTGGTTAATATCCATAAAAATATCCCCTATTTACAATAAGTAACCATAAATATTCATGCAAACTCTGCCATGATTATCCCTCTCGCTATGGTCGTACAGATCTTCGCCGTACCAAATCCTCAATCTCTGGTTCCTGTTCACGTAGATCGGACTGGCAAAGTTGGACATGACCAATTCTGGCGAGGTTGCATCGTACCCAGCCAATCCGTACCATCGTCCGTTCTCTGTAAAGAACGCTTGCTGTTTGGTTGGAAATATGATGTGATCTTTCCAGTCGGTCAAGAAGATGCCGAGGTTAGACTGAACGTTCCGATTGCATCCCCAGTTCGAGTTGTGTACTTGGGCATTGTGACAGCGGATTCGGCCGGAAACGTGCACGAATTTGACGGCGGCCAAAAAGCCTGGTTGACCATGGTGTCGGAATGTGGCATATTTGTCCGAGCTGGCTTCGACGCATTTTGCATGGTTTGCCAATTTCTGCCATTGACCTAAAAATTGGTTGTATAATTACTAATGACTACATTTTAGAATACACGATTCAGAATTTCCGGTTGACTAATCCGCTACAAACTAGTTAAACGTTTGTCTAGATTTACAAGCACTGCTACTAAGGTCTAGGAATCAGGGACCGCGGAGGGGGGGGGGGGCTGGGGGGCTTTAGCCCCCCCAATAATTTTCAAAATACATGTGATTCCTTTATAGCGATTTTTATATGGCCATAATAATACGAATAAAAACTCCTTATAGTAAGTTGTGTAATCATAATTATGTGTTCACTATCCGTGTTGGTGAACAATGTTTTCATTAAAGTGTTTACAAGAAAAATATAAACAGATAAGTATGGTCCCCCCCCCGAGGGTTCACTCTTTCGGCTTCGCTAGCCCCCCCAATCCAAAAACTACTCCGCGGTCCCTGGGAATCCCTGGAGGCCCGTTTTTTGCTGTCATTTTATGTGCGATTTTCCTCTTTTGATAGATGTGAACGAGTGAATTACGAATTAGTCACGAATACTATGATGTATAAGAGCTCTTATTTGAACATCAACTAATTACTCCGCCTGCGTATGCGCAGCGGAGTCTTAAAATGCCATGGTCTTTTTTCCTTTGAGTAGTCGTAGTTTTGGGCGACAGAAGTTGGTATTTCTACAGGTAACCCAAAACAACTTCATTTTTGACCGAGAAGCCCTGGGTTACATGGTCCACGGATGAATTATCTACATAAGTTGGCATGCAGGCGGAGTGAACGCCTTGAGCAGGCGTCTTGTTCAATAACTAATTCACTCGTTCAAATCTATGAAAAGAAGAAAATCGCAGCAAAAATTGCAAGTGCATGTAAACGAGCATGTAAACGGGCCTTAAAATACCGCACGAGGGGCTAATTGCCATTTATATTTCAGGTAGAATTCGAAAGCTTCATGTTATAAAAAAATACAAGGATGAATGATGGCGAAAACTTTCTAGAGCCGAGAAATATCGAACCTGCGTCACAGTGGACTGTGACGCAGGCTAAGAAATATCGAGCCTGCTGCTTTTGCTCCTAAATATGGAATTTAAACTCGGTGAACCCAGACAGCAAATAACTTCCTATAACAGTGCATCGTATCAGATTACAAAATCAATTAGTTTAAAGCGCAAACACAGAGGAATTTGTTGCCCGACTGGCAGAGGAATTTGATGTTGCGTGGCAGACAATTACACTAAAATTCCCAAAATTTACGTTTAAGGTTCTAAGAATTCCCTACCACAGTTAGTGACAATATTTATAAGTTGACATATGGATGTGTCCTGATATACTTACTTATTCTATGATTTTGCGTCAGCGAGTGGTTTAGTACATGGCCGGTGCCAAATTCCGCCGCGACCAAAATTACCGAGAGACTCAGTATTTCGTACATAATTCTGTTGTTGTTCTGTTTTTCTCTTTAACGGATAAATCACGAAACGCGCTCAACTTGACGCTTTAGCCTGAACGGAAAAGTTGTTCGTGTGACTAGGACAAACGCGATACCAATGTCACAATGAATATAAATAACATCGCATTGTGCGGAAAAAAATTAATTGCTTAAGGTTTTGGGTTACCATAATCCCCGCTAGTGTGTAAACAAAACGCCTTTCAACAGGATGCGTAGGACGAAACCTGTCAGTATAAAATTCACACATAATAAAACAAACTATGCTCGGCGATTTATAAAGCAATTTTGTGGGTAGAAATTTGAATGATGGGTACAATTTCCGATATAGTAACGAGTTTTAAAATGTTGGTAGAAATACGAAATATTTAGAGAGACTTCATGACATACCTACATTTATAATGACGTCAACAAAGAATGCGGAATCTTATGCGGTGTTTGATTGACGTTATTCATCCAATCAAAATTTAGGGCGCTACAGTTAGTCTCGTCTGAGGTGTTCTGGCAAAGGTGAGGAATTCAACAAGATGTGGAATTTGGTGTGAGAATTTGAGCCGGAAGTAACAGCAAAAAAAACCGGAAGCTACTTGAAACCCTAAATTTCTGTGCCCGTTTTCCCGCGCCTCCCGCGCACAGGCCGTTTAGTTTTTGCAATGGCGGCGTTGCAGGTTGTAGTTTTATTTCTAGAGCAGAAAAACTGAAATTTTGTCGTCGAAGAAATGCTTCAAGAATATTTTTCTTGCGCTAATTATGTGCCTCATTTGAAGGTACGTACTATTTTGGAATGATTTTGTGTGAAACCAGATAAATTTCCATAGAATTTGTAAAAATACTAAAATTTCAAAAAAATGCCGAGAAATAGGAATTGAAAATTTTTGATTTTGAAAAGCAACAGCTGTGTGGAATTAATAGTAAAGTTAATGGACTTCCTTTTTCAGTTGTCCCACAATCCCTGTTAAGACAAGGGTTGCAAAACAAAAGTCTTTATTGAAGTTTTAGTTAAGTTTTGTTCATGCAATTAATGTTAAAACAAAAAAAGCAGGTTTTTATGAAACTTTTTTGCAGTTTGAAACAGGTTTGTGAAGAAGCTTATTTATGACAAATGAAAACACATCTTTTTCAGTTTTTGGTTTGCTAGATGATGCTTATCAATGTTTGCCTGCCTCAGAGAGGGCTCAGCTTAATAGATAAACTTGTTGTAATGTTGGAGACTGGAGTTTGAATAGAATGTTATTAATGGAAATTAAGCACAGAAAATGGGGAAATACTCTGAACTTCTGAAGACCTTAACATTTAGACAACACACCTGCTTCGAACTCTCAAGGTGTCTTCACCAATAAATATCCCAAGATATTTGAATTTACAATCTTTTACCCAGGATCTTTGGGCAGCAAAAACAATAATGCCCTGGTTTCTAGGTTACTTTTAGAATTCACAGAAAAGTTGCAATTTCGTGCCTAAAATGTGTGCAACTTAATTAAAAAACTGTTAAGTTCTTGGAGTCTGCAGAATACTGGATTTTGCACACTAAAGGTGTTTGAAAAGCACTGCCAGTTGAACTTCCTCTTATTGTGGTTTCTCTTATTCTCTTTGTTGAATGATTTCTGTGTCTGGGTGTTTTTTACCAGTTGATTTTCCATTTTTTGCTGTGCAATGCAATCCTATGCACATCCTTTCCCCCATTACCCCTGGTGGTTGCAAGCAATAGCATCCCTGGGATTCTGTCCAAGTGTTCATTTAGCCAGATTAGCTCCAATGGGTGTTTTGGGTGTTTTTGTAATTCCGAATTGTCACTCATTTACATTCACACCATGCGTCCTCGTTTTCAGATCTCTAAGAAAGTTTTATTATGTACAAAATTTTACAATGATTTCATCTTCGCTTGTTTTCCTTTGAAGTAACCACGTATCTTTGTGCCACACACAATGGCGGGGAGTATCCTTCAGGGTATGAAGTATCTTCAAACAATACGGAATAGTCATCCTGGGGCTAGAAAGTAAAATATTTCAGATGAAAGATTTTCAAAAGAGTTTATCGAAGTCACAACCATCGATATAGAGAATAAACCTCAAATGATAGTGTCTCGCCTTACCCTCGATGGAGGCTCATCAATAAGAGCACGATAAAAACAAGTTGTCTGAGGATACAAAGCCAGAACCAACTAAAAATATAGAGGAAATCATCCATTCTCAATACATACATATAACACTTAAGTGGCCTAATAATGTGATTGGGCATTGCATTCAGCATATACAGTTTAAAGACAGGTTTCAGCGGCTTCTGTGCGACAGTTCTACTCATAACATTAGGGGACTCCTTAATTTAGAAATTGCACAAATTTCGCATGCTTTGAATTTCTTTGAGCATCAACTCAATCTCTTATTCGTTTAGGAGTTAATATATGTTGTGAACTAAATTGGTGTTAATCCGATAGGACAGGTTAATTGAAGAGATGTAGCATTTCAAAATGTACCCCCCCCCCCCGTTTATTTATATTACCGACTGTAACTAACTTCTAAATAAAGTTTATACTGAAACATGCAGAGATGAAGAATATGTTCAATCCATATTAGTCTGACGCTCCGGAGAACAACGACAAGTTCCCTGTGTCGAGCTGGATTTGGACTGACGATTAGGCCAAGCCCGCCAAGGAGGTTTCTATATCGAGGCTTATCCAATTAAAGTGGTAATTGGTTTCAAACTATATAATTGCTGTATTTGAGAGTAGTACCTCTTGCTTTTGAAACAAAGCATGTTTATGCGTTAACGGATTCACTTTCATCTTTGGCAATGGTATAAATCTTCGTCTGCTCAGATGATGTCTCCTGGAACAGAAGAAAGACGAACATTCAGGAAAACTAAAACTATACAATTCTTTTCGATTAACCAGCTCTTCCGCTCTTACTCTTTCTTGTTGCCACCTTCCTCGTCGATGTCATCAATATCGTATCTTTAGGAAAGTTAAGAAAATGAACAAAAAACGGCCCTAGTACGAGGCCACTTTTTCTGCAAGCTGCAACGGCCTGAGCCCTGACGTTTGCGATATGCAAAAGTATCTTCACTGACTTATGAAAATTATCGATCATTCATCGCAAATTTAATGAAAACTACGACAACAAAGTGAGAATGTTTAATATGTCGCATGAAGTTACCAAGAAATTGGGTTCTTTTCGACGAACTTTTGTCTCCTGTTAAAAACATGGAATTTTTGGATGGAATTATAAAAGGATACTTATTTGTGGATGAATTGAATGAAACAACTTCCGCTAAGATCCATTGTTCCTCGCCGTCTGGTGTTCTAACACGAGCAGCAACCTGTGTAAAGAATGTGCTATTCGAATTGAATGACCTTGAAAGGTAACCAACTGAAAATTATAATCATTACAAGTACTGTGAACTGTTAATGTTAACTTCTATTTGCCAATCTTATAGTACCCTGTGCTTTTGAATTTCTCGTAACTCATCAAATTTCCCATATCATCAAATACAGTTTCGATGGTTAATCAAATTTAGCATAACCAATAAGTTTAATAACCAATTGTATTTTGTAAAGAGTTTGACACCTCTATATGTAGCATTTACTTTTACACTTACATGATCTCCAGAATCTGGTAAGTAGTTTGGAGCAGGTGGAATTGATCCGCATAATGGTGGAACGCTAATGAATAACAAAAGATGAACTTAACCATTTATAGTCCAAATCTAAATGAACTCTTTCAATCGATCAATCAAATGTCAAAATCTACCTGAGAAATATACTGAAAACATTTCTTGTAATATTTATAAATTACTAGAAGTGGTAAGTCTGTCTAACCAAACCAGCCAAGCAAAGCAATAAAAATAGCTAAGCTTTAGCAATTTAATTAGGCAGTAATCATCATTCTTTAGTAACCATATAAAGTAACTAAACTAACTAAATTTTAGATAACCAAACTAATTCGAAGGTAACACAATTAATCAAACTTAGGTAGAAAAACAAAATAATTATTAAACTCAGGTATGGTAAGGGTAAATCAATCGTGATTATTATTATTATTGTTATTATTATTGAGGTATGGTAACATAAATCAAATAAAAAGATAAATGCAAATTACTTCTCTGATGGTTTGCCCATAAACATAGGCAATTGAGCAGCATTTTGTTGAAGTATAGTCATAAGGACACCTCTTCTCATCCCAGCTTTCCTACTAGGCTCTATCTCTAAGCTACTCCCCTCCCCATGGCTTCGACCTGAAAAGATATTGTGCAGTACAGCATTGTAAAATACATTACTGGCCTACTGCATCATTATTACATTTAGATATGGTATCTAAAGCATCTTACTAAACCACATTCTAGTACAATACACAACAAGTTAAATTAGTAATAGTAAAATAACAAACCTTGACCACCTTCATTTGTTAATGCTTGGATGTTTGCAATTTTATCAGTAGCTCTTCTGATAAGACTTAGAATAAAAAATATGTTCTTGTAAAATTTCAACTATAGACACCACTCTTCCTCAGGAATGAGTACTAGAATCTTTATTAATATTACAAGTTGTAAGTCCCTGTAATAAACTATTTAAATTGAATCATCATCTTACTCTGCTTCAGCCTCACAGTCTGCAATGGCTGCACCATATAGCCCTTTCAATTTACTTTTAAAATAAGATGACACTAGAAATGGTGGAAATTAATTTTAAAGATTTAAGGGCCAGCTGCAAGAGCATTACTACATAATTTGTATGAATGGATGCTAACTCAATTTCTAAATTGTATCACCACAATATAGTAAAGCTTTTGAATTATCTTTAATACCTTTTGCCTCAGATTTCATACGTTCATGGGTTTTGGAGACATTGGTTAATGTATGTTCATTGCGGTTTCTTTCATCCTATGTTTGAATGCAGAAGGTTCATGAGGACTTACAGCTAAAAGCCTAAAACATCCACATTATTAAAAGTGAATTTTATTTTTATTTGAATGGACCAGGGTGCAATGCATTCCATGTCCAGTATATTCTGAAGTTCTTTCAAAGGGAAACATTGCTTAGTGGCAATCACTTTTGCCAGTAGTAGGTCAAGCTTAGAAAGGTACCTCATGGCCCATGCAATTCATCATTCATGTGCCCACCTGAATTTGATGTATAAGTTGATGGAGTTCCCTTAACAATTTTGGGACAGCATTGCCCCCAGAATTTATACCGCTAGGCGCTGTACTCTTTGTCCGTCTCATAATGAATGTGTTTAAATAAACTCAAAAGCAAGACGCCATTGAAGCGTCTGTAGATAGTTATCGCTCCTCGTTATTCCGCCATGTTTTTGTAAGGAAACAATCTTTACTCGATTTGCTCATGCGCAAAAACAGCAAAATAGACGACATTTTCTGAACATCAAGAATTCCTTTTGGTAGGCTTGAAATTTCTTGTACAAGTTAGGAAAAGATACGTACAACTGTACAAGTATCCTTTTCCAGCCGAAGATGAATCAGAATTGATTCGAAATATACAGTTTCAATTAAAGTTTGATGCGTTTTAATTTGCACTCATTATTCAGAATAACTTTTATTCTATACATGCAAGTATCTACCATATCTATTGGTGAATTCCTTCTTTTAAAGAAATATGCTCATGACAGAAATTCACAGAACTATTTTAATATTCTGAGGAAGTTGGCAAATGGAATATTTATGAATAATGTTTTGAATTATATTCAAAAATCGGTAAAGCTGTCTTTGTTATTTTATATTGACATGGAGTTAGCAATATGGAGTTCCTGCTATTAACTGTAGGCTGTTTTGTTTTTCCATTTCTCCACATTAGTTTTCTGTATTTCGTCAAACGAACAATACCTGGCAGGTCAAAAGGTTTATATTTTGTAATAAGCCAAAGGTATCAGTTGTCAAATTTTAGAAATTATTATAAATTAAAATATAGAATGAATATTATGTAATAGACGGTGGGAATTCTTCGTAACAGTGTCAATGTCTCTACATAAAGCTAGTGGGAACAGTTGTGTAACATAATTTATAATAACATTGATATAGTTAATATACCATAATATATTTACTTTTCAATAGCATACACACAATGTATATAAAATAGCTTTCAATTAGTGAAAACTAGGTCGTTAGGTCATATGTACTTAAGAAATGCTTATTCCAAATCCAATCATATATAATTTGAGAAAAAAAAACTTTGTTGTTGCTGTTGTGATTGCAATTTAAAAAGCCAAATTGGGTTAATTTACCTGCAAAATCTACCAACTCCCCCTTGAATAGACTAGTTTTCAAGTGCCAAGTGTGAATGAGGTATCATCCATAGCATGTATTGTATATATATATGTCACTTACAACAATATGCAGAACTTTGCTATTTGCTGCTGAAATATCTGTCAACAGTAGATTGAGACAAAGGGTTTTCCCTTGCACCTGTATTTATTTTCCAGTAATTAAAAGTGGTCACCTATAAGTTTCATAATTAATTACATTTGTTTTATTTATAAATTCCAGGCTTGTTTCCTTGTTTCAAGCACTCTTTGCATCATGTGTTGGTCTTCAAGTTATCCTGAGGTGTGAAGATGTAATGAAAGAGAGGTATTTGTTACAGACTTATGGTTGCACTAATTTTAATTGTCACATTTGTTCAGAGGCAGTGCAGCATTTTAGCTGACTGAAGTGATATTTTGAATATACTGCAGTACCTCTTGGTGGGTACATATTCCGGTATATTTGACCCTACCAGGACTGAAGGTACCATATTCTGGTATGTTTGACCTTACCAAGATTGAAATAGGTTGACTGTACCATATTCCGGTATATTGGACCTTACCAAGGTAGAATATACCATATTCTGGTTTGTTGGACCTTACCAAGTTCAAATATACCTAAGGTCAAATATACCATATTTTGTTATATGTGCCAAATATAGTCAAATATACCATATTCCGGTATATTTTACTTTACCAAGTTTGAATAACTGTTTATTTTCAATTCTTTTTGTAAATCCTTTGCAGGTTTTTGTCTATCAATTATTATACATGGTTTGGGGTTTCATATTTCTACTACGATATTGGAGCAATGTTCCTGGGAAGTTACCACAGTTTTCCGAATCAAAATCTCAAAGAGATTTATCCAAGATTTTTTGCCAAGAATTGGCTGATCGTGTTACATCATATTTTTGTTCCATTATTTGGTTTTCCAATTATTGTGGTGAGGACTATTAAACTTGAATGAGGTAGTTCAATCATGGTTAAGTCTAGTCTGCATAAAGCAACGAACTTAAAACATTTTCTTTCTTTTAATTTTTACAAGTTTTACAGACGTGGTCTTGGCGATTTTTTTGTTGGCTGCATTTTTTTTGCTGAAGTGAGCACGCCTTTTGTGTCCATACATGCAATATTAAAACAAGTAAGTAGTAAGTCGTCTATATGATGCAATACATGCAATATTAAAACGAGAATGTAGTAAGAGTCCGTGGTTATATGGCTTAGGGTAGGTAAATTTACGAGCAGTTTTCGTATTTTGTACTCCGGGTTAGGCCAAGGGTATAGGGCTAGAAAGTAGAAAGAACCGTGTTAATTGGGAGCAGCACAATATTGTTTAAACTGGAAGGAGAACATGTGCCTATGGTTGACTTGTCGACATAGTAGAAGTGGAAGTTGTTTCAATTTCGTACCCGGAGCTCGAGGGTACAAGAGTGGAATCGTATATGTTTGTCAGAGGATTCTTTCTTCAAATTTGATTGTTACTACCGAATGGGAGTGACGTCTGCCAGCGATGTACAGCCAGGTTGTGATGTAATATCAGTACACCTCACACGAGGCACAGAATAGAAGAGAGCCATTTTCCAAGAATCTGTACCGGGAATCGATTTCTCAAGGCTTTCAACGACACATTTCTTTGCAAGTGGAAATCCAGCCTAACTATACAAGACAGTTCTCTTGGCTCCGCTTATAGTCAAACGACCAGTGTGCTTAACTACTCCTTTTACAATACTATAACACTATATTTTTCGAGTATTCGATGTAATGACTGCCGATAGTGTAACCTTTGCCTATCTGATCGTTTTAAACGTTCAAAAATAACCATGTAAACAAAATTATGCAAGGATAGAAATTAACCTTTTAACCCAACTGTAAATACTTTATTTTACAGAGGGTTTAACCGTCGGCTTTCTTGTCAATTTTAGCTGGACATGCAAAGGTCTAGGATCTTCAAAGTCAACGGGTGTTTCTTAGCAACTTCATTTTTTCTTGGTCGAATTCTTATTTTTCCCTACATGTATCACAACTATGCCAACTACTCGAAAATCTCCACGTGGCAAGTTCCACTGAAAATACCGTTACTTTGTAACATCAGCTGTTTAGGATTGTTGACACTCCAGTTGTTCTGGTTTTCTGCGATATTACGACAAGGTTTTGCATTTCTGAACATATCAATGAGGCCGATTTCTTCCAGAGAGGAACAAAACACCAAGTCTGGCATCACTAAACGTCTTACAAAAGATAATTTTGGAAATAATGTGGATAGTAATTTTAACTCTAACGGTAAAGGGCGATGACATATAATAAATGAACGTTATTAATTTGCTCACATAATTTTTTCTATCGCTACAAAGAGCGACAGAAATATAAAAAAATATTTTCGGAATGTTTTACCATTTTACCATTTACCAATTTTTTCTCCACTGGTTCATCTCTGATCTAGAAATCCACTATTTTCATTTATGATATCACCTTGGCTTTGAAATTGGTCAAGACAGATCTAGATGTTTTAGTATCCTTATAAACTATAATTTAGGGTAATTGACGAAGTTTATTTGTTCACAAACGTAATCATTATTTATTATAAATAAGAAAAATCCATTTGACAAAGTATTTTAACAGCTTTAGTATACTTATAAGCCATTATTTAGGTTAATTGATAAAGTTAATTAGTTCACATTACCCTGGCTTTGAAATTGGTCAAAACAGATCTAGATGTTTTAATATCCTTATAAAACTATTAGGGTAATTGACGAAGTTGATTGGTTCACAAACATAATCATTATGTATTATAAATGAAAAATCATGTTGAGAAAGTATTTTAACTGCTGCAGTTTTGGATTAATCATTAATAAATAAGGCATTGTTTTCAAGACCTTATTTTGATTCACATATACAGTTCATCGGGAAATTCATGGAGTTCGGATATTTTCTCAACTTGATATTCCTGTTTATTGTGAATATATGTTTCTTTCTCTCGGGAATATGCTTGAATTCCTTGGTCATAATCAGTTTCTGGAGATCAGCGCAGCTTCGAAAGAAATTGTGTTATTTCATGATTATGGTTTTGTCCTGTTGCGATTTGCTGGCGGTCTTAACTAATAATTCCTTGATGGTTTTTATTGCGATGTTTTGGCTAACTGGAAATGGAAATGCTCTGAGGGTAACTTGGGTGCGCATTCTTAATGCGCTATCACAAACTTTCATTGGTGTTTCTTTGATGGCTCTCTTCGTCTTGAATTTTAATCAATATTTAGCGACACGTTATCCCATCTTTCATCGAACATCTGTAACGAAGAGAAAACTTTTAACTCTTTTTGCTGTGATGGTTTTTTTCACTTGTGGTTTTTCTGATGGTTACAAACTCTGTAATTCCCCTCCATGTTGCTTTTCTCATTGGTTTGATTACCATAGCTCCTCTGATGTTATTCATAAACTACAAGATTTTTTCAATAGCGAGGAAAACTCGTGTAGACAGAGAAGCATCACCCGATGTAAGAAAAACGTTTTCTTTGACGAATACATCAAGTTGCTTGTTAGCAGTCGCTTGTTTTGTCGCACTGTCAGTTCCAAGTTTCGTCTTTATTGGACTAGAATTTCACTCGAAAGAAAAATGGTATAATTTTCATACCACATCTCTGCTTGTGGTCTGGGCTCAAACAATTGGCTCGATGAACGGGACATTTAACTGCGTGATTTTTTACTGGAAAAACGCAATCTTACGCACCGAAGGAATGAAAGTTATTAAAAGTATAAAAACCTGTAGAAGACGACAATTTCAAACGTGAATGAAAGTAATAAAATTATGAAAAAAATAGACTGATGCAAACATTAAATGGGAGAAAAATTACTGTAAATGGTGTAAATAACGTAATTTTAAGTGCAACACAAAGGAAGCATAAAAGCAATATATCAAAGGCAATTGTCTATGGAGGCGTAGTGTATGTATAAACAAAGTTTTGCGATCTTTATTTTTTAATTTGTGAGTCCTGAGGTATGGGGTAGTCAGTAGAAACGATGCTTAAATTTAGACACGACTTTGTAAATTATCTTTAGTGTACGACGTAGTTGCCACAAAAGGTCAGTTTTCTGAGCCTTGCATGGGCCGAAGCCCCGTTTCAGTAAATGTTCATAGAATAAAAACTTTGATGTGTTTGTCTCTGTTCTTCATGCAGGCATGATTCAAATCGCCTTAATTCGACGAAAAGTTGTTAAATATAGCGCTTTGAAAGATGATTTGAAACGAGTTTATACATCAAAAGATACGCGCTTAAACAGTAAGAACGCAGGAATGCATAGCATAGGGGACATGAAAACCGAGCTAATCGTAGACCTGAACTAGAATGTGCTGTTGCATGCCTCTATTTTAATTAAGTATCTTCATTTTTGATAACACCGCGCTTGATTTGAAACCGGTCAAGATAAAGATTGTTTTATTATAGCCAATTAAACACTATTGTTTTTAGGTTAATTGATAAAGTTAATTATTTTATTTAGACATTAATCAGTCATTATAATTCTTTCTTATTAAAAAAGAAAAATCAAGTTGGAAAAGTATTCAGTTTTGGACAACTGCCTATCAAAAAATATATAAATAAAGCGCGTTATATAAGACAACTTGCCGTCGAATGTAGAAATCCTGTTGTGGTCATGTCGTGGAAAAATTTTCGTGTGAATTGATTAAGCTTTAATAGATTAACTTTTGATTTAGGCAACAAAAAGGAAATTTCCGAAAGGGGCATACTAAATTTAGTAAAATTACCAATTATTAGTGTAACTATAAATTTATTAAATGCTTCCGCCCGTAGTAAAGAAAGTATAAAGAATTGGCTGCTTTGTATAGCTATATTTTCCGTAATACTTAAAACTTGGCCATTATACTAATTTCGGTATCCTCTTTTTAGCTGTGGTGATTTATTTCCTTATTGTGACCTAGATCGTATGTTGGTCTATTATATATGCAAAATACCCATTAAAGCATGTCTCTTTTATCATAGCGCAAGTTATAAAGTTGTCATTAACATTGGAAAACGTTTTTCTCTAAAATGATAGATTAAGAACTTATAAATATGGCATTGTTTTTCGTGACTTCATTTTAATGCACCTGCATATTGAAATCGCCTGTGTTGTAAATGGAGTTCGGATACTTTCTCAACTTGATATTCCTGTTTGTTGTGAATATATGTTTCTTTCTCTCGGGAATATGTTTAAATTCCTTGGTCATAATCAGTTTCTGGAGATCAACGCAGCTTCGAAAGAAATTGTGTTATTTCATGATCATGGTTTTGTCCTGTTGCGATTTGTTTGTGGTCATAACTTGTCATTCGTGGGTAGCTTATGTTGCGATGTTATTGTTGACTGGAAGCGGATATGACATTCTTGTTAGGTGGTTACGCATTTACGATGTACTTTCAAATTCTTTCATTACGCTTACCTGGCTCCTTCTTTTGGTGATGAATTTTGATCGATATTTAGCGACATATTATCCCATCTTTCATCGAACATCCGTAACGAAGAGAAAACTTTTGATTCTTCTTGCGATTCTGAGTTTTCTTTTTCTTATTTTAACAATGATGACTTTAGAATTTGTAATTTACGAATTAGGTATTCTATTCACTATCATTATTTTCGTCCCGCCGATGTTTTTCATGAACTACAAGCTGTTTAGGATCGCGAAGGAAAGTCGCGGGAACAGAGGAATACCACCAGCCGATATTCGAAAAAGGTTTTCTTTGAAGCATACATCAATATGCTTGCTGGCGGTCGCTTGTTTTGTGTTACAGTCAATTCCATCACTTGTATTCATTGGACTGAGAATGAACTCGAAGCCGAAGGGGAATGGAATTATTTTTGATAATATTGAACTTATCGGAAGCTGGGTTAAAACAATTTGCTCGATGAACAGTACATTCAACTGCTTGATATTTTACTGGAAAAACTCGATTTTACGCAACGAAGGAATGAAAATTGTTAAAGGCATTAAAATGTGCAGAAAGTGATATTTGTATGGCTCCATGCAGTTATACGCGGTATACAAGATTGCTCTGGGAACAGGTCAAATTTTGTAGCCAATAAAAGGATGTAAAAATTTTACGTGCGAGACCTGCGTGGAGCAAACATGTGCATGACGAGAGGGTATAAAGTGTATAAAGAAAGCCCATTAAAGTGAATTTTTTCTTTCAGTATAAGCATTAATTTCCAAGGAGGATTTCATGCTTCCTATATCAGTTTAGGGATGCGACTTGAGAGGAATAGGTACAAAAGTATATTTAACTGAACGCTTTAGCAGAAGTAAAATTTTTCATAATATATTGCATAAAAAATTAAGAACGGTACTAAATATAAATATACTATATATAATATATAGAGGTAAAAAGGAATTCTTGCTTGATCGAATGCGTTTCTTGAGTATATATATGAACGATAGACGCCGAGCTATCTTGGTAAAAGAACTGCAAGGCTGAACCAGCTTTCTATATATATGCATGCATGGAAAGGATATATTTTGTATCTGATGCAACTTCTTAAAGTACAAACACTGCAAGTGTACCATAGTTTGGTTTTTTATAGAGAATTACAGCCTAGTGATAGATTGTAAGCGAGCTTGCATGGGTTTAGGCCATCACATGCCCGAGAGTGCATATTCTTCAATTTAGCCCGTTTTGAATAATTTTTAATTATTATAGATAATTTATTTGCTTAGCCTCAATCAAGCTATAGCTAATTGCGTTTTATGTTGATTAGATTTTTTTACAAACTTCAAACTAACGACAGCCGAAACAGATGTTTATTAAGATTGCCTAGCTTCGAGCTAGGACCTCGATCCTGAGAGATAGTCGAAACGTTCCTCCATTTTTTTTTGTTTGGGATCAGACGACCATGTCATTTCCCGCCAATACTCCACCATGTTTGTTTACCATATCTTTTTTCTATACTTCTTCACCCCTGACTTAAAAACCATGGCCTGTAATATAAAGACCCATACACTCTAATTTAATTAAATATTATTAATTTTAGCTATTAAAAATTTTTTAATAAAAACTCACTAATCCGAAACGCCAATAATAAATGCCGAAACAAATGTTATAACGTCACGTGAAACGAGAATAGGTATAGCTGCCCCTGATTTTTTACTACACTCCTACACAAAGGCAGTAGAATAGTGTCGATGGCGAATGTATTCTTTTTATGATCACTCAGAAGGGGTTGAACATGCAGAGATCGCATGGGAGAAATAAAAAAGATGTAGCTCCTGGGGCCGGTTGTATCAAGCCCGTTTAGCTTAAACGAAGAATATTATGCACTAAATATGTAGTTGTAAACAGTATCTTTGTATTATTTAAGGTTAAAAACATTTAGTTTGCTTGTTGAGTAAAACGATAGACTTGCTTTCTATTTTGAACTTAACCACCGTTTAAGCTAAACGGGCTTGATCAAACCGGCCCTTGGTCTGACAAGTCTGAGATTTAGGTAAGGATTGTTTTTTCAGTATACTCTCTGTATTAAAAACGGTAGAAGATGAAAATTCTCAGCAATTGATTGATAAGTTACTAGAGCCTCCAATTTCCGAGAGTAATTAATCTAGGCCTCTGCATGATATCAGGATGCATAATATTGTCTCTTATTAAGACCGAAAAATTGTTAGATGAGAATTTTTAGGTGATTAATAATTGTCAAAAATTTCTTATTCCATGCATGTGTTTGATAGTATTGCATGAACAGAGCGATGAAATATATTTCAAGAAGAATAATGGTTTTGTTGAAAAATGAAACTTTCTATTGTTCGAAGACAAAAGATTCAGTATTTATAATTATGAATATTTAGTGTTGCGTTTATTTTATAGACCCTGTATAGTTTGGCCAAGGTTATACGTCGCATTTCCGTCGTGTCGAATGCAATTCAAACAATAGATAATGGGATGATAAACCTCGTCAGTAAGCTTCATTATTTATTGTTTAAATTGCAGTCGGCGCTGCGAAAATGCGACGTTTAACCTAGGCCTTTATTACTTATGGAGTGGAAATTCCCATGCATGTGCAGATATATGCTAATATGCATGGCTGTTTGTTTCGTTAAAAATTTCTTCATTGATTCGCAGTTTATCGAAAACTGTAGCAGTTAAATATAGAAGTACTCAACTTAATATTCTTTATTAATAAATAATACTAACAGATTAATAAATCAAGATACTGAGCATTATCGGCTTTACAATATATTACATGCAAATTCGCTTGCATGTAATTTATTGCTTCCTAGAAAAACTGTGTATTGATGTATACATGCGTACATATATATGCTGCAATTCATTGGAAATCATGCATTTAGGATATTTTCTAAACTTAATCTTTTTGTTTATTGTTAACGTATGTTTCTTTTTCTTGGGAATATGTTTAAATTCCTTGGTGATAATCAGTTTCTGGAGATCAACGCAGCTTCGAAAGAAATTGTGCTATTTCATGATCTTGGTTTTGTCCTGTTGCGATTTGCTGGCGGTCTTAACGAATCATTCCTTTCTATCCTCTATTGTGATGTTATGGTTAACTGGAAATGATGATGTTTTTACGGGTAGTTGGGTATTTTTTTCCGAAAAGATATCAAGTGGTCTCCTTGGAATTTCCTTACTCGCTTTTTTGGTCATGAGCTTTGACCGATATTTAGCGACATATCATCCCGTCTATCATCGAACATTTATAACGAAGGAAAAACTCTTGATTCTTTTGGCAATACTGACGGGTTTTTTCCTATTCCTGGTGGTGTTATCTCTAATATTTTCCTTCCAGGGTGCTGGTCTGATTTTTCTGGCAGCTATATCGCTCCTCCGATGTTGTTCTTGAACTACAAGCTGTTTACAATCGCGAGGAAAAGTCGTGGAAACAGACAAATAGCACCCAATGCGAGAAAGACGATTTCTTTGAGGAATACATCGAGTTGCTTGCTAGCAGTCGCTTGTTTTGTGGCGCTGTCCATTCCATCGTTTGTCTACTTTGCACTGATAATAAGCTCGGAAAATAAAGTTTATTATTTAAATAATACACTGCTTCTTGGATTGTGGGCCAAAACAATTTGTTCTCTAATTGCTACATTCAACTGCTTGATATTTTACTGGAAAAATACGATTTTACGCACCGAGGGAATAAAAGTTATTAAAAGCATTAAAAACTGTAGAATACGAAAATTCTCAGTAATTGATTGATAAGTGACTAGAACCTCCAATTTCCTACAGTAATTAATCTGGGTTTCTGATATCAGGATGAATATGATATTGTCTCTTATTAAGACCGAAAAATTCAGTGTTAGATGAGAATTTTTTAGGTGATTAATAATTGTCAAAAATTTCTTATTCCATGCATGTGCTTCATAGTATTGCATGAACAGAGCGATGAAATATATTTCAAGATGAATAATGGTTTTGCTGCATGAAAAATGAAAAAGGCGGGTTATGGATTTCTTAATATATGAATTACTTAGAGTATAATTTATAAAAACAATTAGTTCACCTTATATTGCTTTCAGTATGTTAAATTAAATAAAACTTATTAAATGAAGGCAACGCTCAATCATATAGACATATTATATATACCAGGGGCAGGGCCGGCTGTTTGGAGATAACTGCGATCATAGACAAATAGAAATCAAATAGAATATCGAGTATAGTCGAAGACAAAAGATTCAGTATTTGTATATAATTATGAATGTTTAGTGCTGCATTTATTTTATAGACCCTTATCTATTTGATTATCTATGCTGCGATTTAACCGCATTTTTCTTATACGCCACGTCACGCACGTAAAAGTCTAAATCCTTATGTATCATTGTATGTCATATAAAAAGCCAAGCGAATAAATCGAAAGAACTTCGTTATAAAAAAACACACCCACTCAATATTCACGAATATTCACTTTGGTCGCTTTCCGAGTATAGTCGAAGACAAAAGATTCAGTATTTATGAATATTTAGTGTTGCGTTTATTTTATAGACCCTGTATAAGTTTGGACAAGGTTATACGTCGCATTTTCGTCGCGTCGAATGCAATTTAAACAACAAATAATGAGATGATAAACCTCGTTAAGCTTCATTATTTAATTATTGTTTAAATTGCATTTGGCGCGACAAAGATGATTTGGCGCGACCAAGATGCGACGTTTAACCTAGGCCTTTATCACTTATATATGCATGGGGTGGAAATTCCCATGCGCTATAATATGCATGTTTGTTTCGTTAAAAATTTCCCCATTGATCGCAGTTTTTTGAAAGCTGTTGCAGTTAAATATAGAAGATTAGAAGTCCCTAACTTAATATTCTTTTAATAATAAATAAAACCTTAATAGATTGTTAAATCAAGATGTTGAGCATTATTGGCTTTTAAATTACCTGCAAATTCGCTTGCATGACTGTAATTTATTGCTTCCAAGTAAAACTGTGTTTTGATGTATACATGCGTTTATCTACAATTCATCGGAAAATATGCAGTTACAATACTCTCTAAACTTGATATTTTTGTTTATTGTGAATATATGTTTCTTTTTTTCGGGAATATGTTTAAATTCCTTGGTCATAATCAGTTTCCGGAGATCAGCGCAGCTTCGAAAGAAATTGTGTTATTTTATGATCATGGTTTTGTCCTGTTGCGATATATCTGTGGTCTTAACAAATCATTCCTTTATGGCTTCTTCTGTGATGTTATGGTTGACGGGGAATGTTAATGCTATTAGGAGTAGCTGGGTTAGTTTTTCCGATGCGCTAACAAATGGTTTCCTTGGAATTTCCTTACTTGCTTTTTTGGTCATGAGCTTAGACCGATATTTGGCGACATATCATCCCGTCTACCATCGAACATCTGTAACGAAGGAAAAACTCTTAACTCTTTTTGCAATACTGGCGGGGTCAGTTTTACCGCTTTTAGCGGCGTTAATTCTCATCTATCCATCCGAAGGACAAAGTGCTTGTCTGATATTCCTATTTGCTATTGTTCCACCGATGTTGTTTATGAACTACAAGCTGTTTAGAATCGCGAAGAAAAGTCGCGAAAACAGAAGAATATCAGCCGATAAGAGAAAGACGTCATTAAAGAATACATCGAGTTGCTTGCTAGCGGTCGCTTGTTTTCTGGCGCTATCCATTCCATCGTTCGGCTACTTTCTACTAAGGATTAACTCAAAAACCAAAGGCTATCATTTAAATAACGCGCAGTTCGTTGGATTGTGGGCTAAAACCATTGGCTCAATGAATGCTACATTTAACTGCTTGATCTTCTACTGGAAAAATGCGATTTTACGCAGCGAGGGAATGAAAGTTATTAAAGGCATTAAAGTCTGTAGAAGATAACAATTCTAAAGTCTGAACACACGGCTACAAGCCTACGATTGTATATGTACCCTGTGGCTGAAACCTTCAACTTCCGAAAAAAATTCTGGACTTCAATCTACCTGCGTGCAGGGAAATTTTAGATGTGAACCTAGTTAAGCTATACCCTGGAACGATAACTGAGGGTTATTTGGCCCCCATCTTTGAAGCCGAAATGGGTACCAGTGCCAGTCTATTTTTATTGTTTGTCGGCCCGATCGTCGACCGAATTATCATTCCAGTTTATATAGAGTTCACTGTGTGAACCATCACAGATATACGTAATCTCGTTCCCCAAGCCCGCTATTTCTTTGGCGAGAAAACTAAGCCTCTAAGAAAAATCGAAATCAGAAATGATTCTCATTGGTCGTTCACGCAGTTTCAATGTTGAAATTCAAAAAACTGTTACAAACCTGAAACCACAAGCCAGGATTTGGCCCCGGGCCCCCAACCTGAAGGGGCCCCTGACAAAAGAAAGAACCTAAAATTAAAGCACCTAACAAACGTTGGGCTCCGTGTATATCGCACACTAGTGGAAAGTACGAGTGACAGTCATTGTTATTTCAATTTCTAAGATATGTTGATATTGTTTGTAAAAAGGCTTGTTTGTTAAACTTTTTCACATCGCTTTGAAGTACTTTATACCTCGCAGGTATTTAAAACCATGACGTCAAAAGGCCCCACAAAAAATTTTTGCCCCAGGCCCCACAATTTCTCTCGGTGCCGCTGCATGTGCATCATGGTGCATCATTATGCATTATGCAAGCATAAAGAAACTAGATTTTAGAATCTGTATCTATCCTGTATAAATTCCATGTGAAAATACTAAACTTTACATGTTGATTAGTTTTCTCAACATTGATTTTCAAACATCAACAAAATATAGATCACTCTTTTTACCAAAAAAGAATTTTATACCATTTTGAAATTAATAACAACAAGTGATAACTTTAATTGCAAATTTTATTTGCGCAAAATGTGTCCTTACATTATTACCAACTCAACTGTCCATAAGTTTCCATCTACCAAACTACACCCCAAGACAAATGCATTGCAACAAGAGTTCGCTACCTAAAAATTCCTACAACTTGCAAAGGCAGAACAAGGTTGGTATAAAAACCCCTAAAGCAATAAAAACAGGTAGTAGTAAGCTGCTTTCATCTGTAGCATACGGATCAGTTGCCCTGGGACCAGATGTTTTCCTAGCTCGGTCTGGTTTATCGTCAGATTTCCCATCATCTTCATCCTGCTCATCATTTTCACCTTGGTCGGGACCAGGCAGCGATGGTAATTTAGGGACATCTAGGAGAGAATGGAATCATTATAGGTTAACAATGGTATTCACTACTGAGTGGCCCTCTCCATGGGCATAGACAAATGTAGGCAACATTCAGATCCCTGTATTTGTACTGTAGTGGCCCTAATTCTTCAGCAAATCTACCAATTTTAAACTGAGGAATGGATTGGTAAAATTGACTGGTGATGCAAATTATGTGAGCTGGACATTGATTGTGGCCCCCTTTCCCCTTATTATATCTAGAGATCTATATTCTACAGCCCAAAATAGTTCATTTCATGCTGAATAAAGTTTTCAAAATTTTCATCTACCATGCACATTGCACTCAGGTAAATGTGCATGCTCGCTGCATGACAATAAGTTTGCTTGCCAGAGTAGTAATAAGTCAGTTTGCAAGCAATACAAGTCCTCTGTTGCATATTTCTTGAATGAAATAATTTGAACAAACCTTCCAAGTTGCCTTTCATAACAACAATGGCATTAATCTTGGGATTGTCATAACCCTAAACATAAACAAAACACCATATACTTTTCCTGCTATATATATGAAAGGTCTCCAAACACTACTGTAAAAAAACTTAGATATTTTTGACAATGAGATCCAGAGACTCTAAGCCTAATTAAAGGGAGGGCTTGGGGAGGGTCGACCAGAACTTAATACCAACTTCATTTTTTCAACAAGATTTTAAGGGATTTTACCTTAACAAATTCTACATGTAAACTACCAGGGAATCGGTGAAGTTGTGTGTCAACCAAGATTTGTCCTTTGTTTATAGTGAATGATATATATTCATCATGTGCAATGCCTTTTCCAACTTTGTCGTATATATCCAATTGTTTGACAGCTAATATGTTGTTAACATACACATCGAAAACCTACACAAAAAAGATATATATTCCATGGTCTGTAAGCACATGTTTGCAATACACACTACAGTGTATAATTTGTACTGTCACATTTCTATTGAGGAAAATTGGGAATCTTAAAGGCTTGTAAGCTTGCACCGATTGCTGTTTAAAAATAAAAATATCATCATCATAGGGGCAAAAGTAAATTTGCAATTAAGAGCACCCTGGAGTTAAATTCTTTCGCTGCACCAGCCGCAACACAACTGCTTATGTTGCAAGTTGCAAAGTTGATCACATTGTCTGACACTTAGCCTCAGTGGGAGACTTGCAATATATGGTCAACAAAAAGCTGAATATTGCATATAGGGCGACATTCAACAAAATTCTGACTTCCTGCAATGCAGTGAGAATTGCAACATGTCTTGTAGTACTATTGTGAAATCAACCAATCACATCACGACCAATCACACTAGCTTTTATGCTAAGGGTCGATTTATGCTGGCAATTAAAGTAATTCATCACAGACCACACCTATGGGTTACACCTGTCTGACATGTCATTGTAACATTCAATATTTGCAATTTTAATACATGGCAAGCTGGAGGAAAGCAATAAAAAAAAGAACAACACCGTAAGCTTTAGTTTGAAACTTTGAGCTTGCAACCTAATTTCAATTCACCTTTGAAGTCACCTGATCAGACTGACATTGGGTAATTGTTAGATGATGCTGATGAAATATATACATGAGGAAATGATATATATGAGGAAATGGCATTATCTATAGCCTGTTAATATACACATTTAACTTTGGTTAATTATTACCTTTAGTTTGGGGCCTTGAAAATACACCTCACTAAATTTGAGCACTAATACATAATCACCATCTTCTTTGATCGGGATATCGTATGCAAAATTTGAAAGGTGATATCGTTCCGTTTGGTATAAGATTTGATCAAGCGGGGCGACGCGACCTATAGCGAGCCGTTTGCCGTAATCCGAAGCAGTTCCTATACCAAGTTTATCAGCCTGATAATGCACTCCATTGAGGTCAGTGTGATCAGGTCCACCGCAATTGACAGCGAATACAACTTCTCCCGTTGCTGTTATTTCATTCGCGAGAAGAAACAGTATTGAAATGGCACAAAAACAGCTTAAAATGTTGATAAACGAGACCAACTCCATTGTACAAATTAGAATAATTTCGACTTCGTGCACCTGTGTTCTATTTTTTTTATTGTCACATTGTTTGAAAGCACCGACATATTGCCGATATTTCCACGGAAACGGCGGGACAAAATTATCGCTTCCGAACTGACACTGAGCTATATAATATTTCCGCTCCCACTGAAGCTATATAGGAGATATTATATCCACTATTTTCCCTAACCACCCCCCAAAACTCGTATTCTTGAATTTGTTTCGTAATAAACTTTATTTATACACAAAAAGAAGCGTCAAAGAATATTTACGGAGTAGCAAAAAGGCTCCCATTAGACTCTGACATTAGTTAACGAAAGCATTTGAGGTATAGGCTTTAAAGAGGTTTAATTTTGATATTTATTATCACCATGATTAAAATTCTCGTTATCCTTTATTGTACCCGCTTATATGCCTTATTTGAACAAGTTGTTCACTTTGATCCCGGTTTGTTCCAAAATGTTCACAAATACCTATCGCTAGTACAATCTTTTTCAAAGTTTTCTACAAGAAATCATGGCAGCAATTCAAAGTTTAAATCCAAAAGCAGAGTTTGCCCGTGCTGCAGCGGCCTTACAAGTTAACACAAGTGCCGCTTTGGGTTTACAAAATGTCCTTAAGACAAACCTCGGTCCGAAAGGGACGATGAAAATGTAAGTATTGAAATATTTTATCGGGCAAACAATCCACGTGCGTTCAATGTGCTTGTGATTTGACAACTATCTTTTCCCGCAAACTACTGGCAAAGAAGAATCTCAATCACTTGCTGCTCACGATGCACGTTGAAGTCTTTGCCCAGCAGTTTTAATTTCAATTCTAAACCTTTTTTTTTTGTAATATTGATATGAAATTACTGCGAATTATAGTCCTGCCTTCAGTTGGGTGTTTCCCTGTAAATATAATAATAACACAAAAGTACAAAATATGTACACATAAGCCCTGTTTACATTACACTCAATTTATTGGCAAGACACAACTAAAATGGGTACCTGTGATCAATTTCATCCATGTCCAGCCTTTGTATTGGTAGTCTGAGCACAGAAAAAATGGATATGGTAACCAAGTTTAGCTGTGCCATGCCAATAAATTGGCTGTAGCGTAGATAGGGGCTTTGAGTACTGCATGTAGTTGTTCAAAGTTTTACATGCCTATCAGATCCTTTAAAGTTTAAAGACTGCAATTATATATATAACAATTATAGCTAACTAGAATGCAACGTATAGCTAATTTAATCAATTAAATCATCAAGTTGTAGGAGACATAATGTGATTTTGTTATTTGCCAAGCTTTTGATCACTTACCCAGGTCTTCATCACTGCAATAACGTTTGAATATGTAAACACCATTTACATATGAACAAGGCAGCCATACACTCTACAATTGACCCTGAAACATAATTTCAGGTTGGTTTCTGGATCAGGTGATATAAAGATTACGAAAGATGGCAATGTGCTTTTAAATGAAATGGTGGGTTTTACTATTTTACACTACATATCTAATGTGATTGTTTTCCAGCCTTGTACCCAGGCGCTTTGGTCGAAAACATATCACTTTGCATTCAGTTATCATATAGAGGTCAGCTGAGGGAAAGCTGTTTTCGACGAAGAATACTTCACCTTTAAATAAAACACAAACCCAAACCTAACCATTTCTTAGCTGACCTCTGTATAGTAACCTAATGCAATTTTATATGGTCGTGACTAAAGCACCCGAGTATGTTATTATTTCCTGTAATTTTTTTCCCTAAACTCTTATCAGTTCAATGAAAGATTCTAGTCTTTTTTTACAGCAAATCCAACATCCAACCGCCTCATTGATTGCCAAAGTTGCAACTGCACAGGTATTGAAGCATTGCCTTCAGCATAACTCAATTATAATATTTTTGGGTATGGAGGAAATAGTTTTATTGTAAATTGCATAATTACTATAGAAGTCTTTTGAGCACTTGGTTTATTCCACTATCATCACTAAAAGCCAATGGCTCCTTGAACAAGTATTTTGATGCATTTTAGGATGATATAACAGGAGATGGAACTACATCAAATGTCCTAATAATAGGCGATCTTTTAAAACAGGTACATACTGTAACATAAGTGTAGTGGCCTCCTACACAAGTGAAAACATAAAGTATTCATTCAGGTACCCATCGGGATCAGTGCCAAAAAAGTGAGGGGTGCAAGAAGTATCATGATTCAAAATAATTTGAATTACATGAAGTAGTGCACACAATCGAATGATTACAATGAATGATCATGATGTTTTCTCCAAGTGCTACTTTATTTAATGATATGATAAAACGCATTGTCATTTTTTTTGAAATATCAAATAGGCAAGCTATTAGTAATCAACAGGACTTATAGGCAGAATGAACTGTATATAACCTATATATCTAAAAATATTCACTAATTTTCCAATTTTTGTATTCTAGGCTGATTTATATATATCAGATGTGAGTATTCTAATGCAATTACAATTCCAATTGGCCAATTTTTCTGGACGATAATTGCTGTTTTCTTTTGCCATCACAGGGCCTCCATCCCAGGATTATCACGGAGGGATTTGATTTGGCTAAAGTTAAAGCACTAGAGGTACGTCATATTACGGGCTGCCAAATGGTTTTCTGTGAATGGCAAGTTTCAGACGGAGACTTTCAGAGGAAAGCGCAGAGGCGGGAAAATATTTCGGGCTATCCCAAAGTCAACCTAGATAGAAATATGGAAATCAGGTACACGTTTATGGATTTCAGTGTAGCGCTTAATAACATACGACCAACCTTTTTTTAGGTTTTAGAAGAGATAAAGGTTAAACGTGAAATGACCAGGGAAACGTTAATAAATGTAGCCAAGACATCGCTAAGAACTAAAGTTCACTCCAATTTAGCCGACATTCTGACTGAGGTAAAAATACCGTTTTAGTTTGTAATCTTGCTAGATTTTTACATGTGCGAGACAGTCTAATAGTTGAAAATTAATTAATATACAACATGATAACAATTTATTATTATAACATAATAATGATTTATTATTATTTATATGAAAATTAAGGGAACATGAATAGAAAATATTCTCAATAATATTTTACGTTTGTACGTGTCTTTAACAAAAGTTTTTCGCGTGTGGAATACTAAAAATCACCACTAACTGTAGTCGACAACTTTTACTGGTCGACAACTTTTACTAGTTGACAACGAAACCGCTCGTCTGCGCATGCATGTTCTAACACCGCGATCAATTTTGACTACGACAGGCCATTGTCGACGCAGTGCTCGCCATCCGCCAGGAAGGTCAAGACATTGATCTGCATATGGTTGAAATTATGGAAATGATGCATAAATCTGACGCTGATACGAAGTAAGTATAGAAAGCCCGCAATTCAGTGGAAGATAGCCATTAAGATTTGACCGTCTTTATATCATTCGGCATGTAGACTTGTTCGCGGCCTAGTCATGGATCATGGGGCGAGACATCCAGATATGAAGAAGAAGGTCAACGATGCTTACATTCTCACGTGCAACGTTTCCATGGAATACGAGAAAAGGTGAGATTTTATTTAAACAATTATTAAAAGAGGTTCAACGTGATATGAAAAATTATCAACCGACTTTCGAAGAATTATCAACAAATTTAAAATCAAAATTGTATTAAAAATTGTATATTTAAAGAGGTTTTGTGAGATTTAGCGTCGTTCAAGTTTTGCTAAAAAACAATAGAATATTTGAGAAGAGATTACAAAAAACAATAAAATTGGTTACAAATAAAATCAATTCGATTTATTGAAACAAAGGATATTGAGCTATTGTGGTTGTTGTTGTTGTTGTTCTTGTGTTGTTATTGTTGCTTTTGTTGTTGTCAATACTTTCGGCGCGTGAAGGATGCGATGTTTATCGAGACTTCGATTTGCCTAGGAGAAAATGTTTTGAAAAATCGTAATAAAAGGTGTATTTGGACTAACTTTTCCTCAATGTAGAAAAGAATCGATAGAATATCACACCCAAGGGCTTATCCGATATCTTCTGGCTTTATTTCCACCACCTGAAAAATGGCACGTGCATGGATTTCTGTTTTAAAACAATGGCGGAAAATTGTTTATTTTTTCTAAAAGAACGCAGCTGTTTCTTTTCAAACCGTCTGCATCGACAAGAATCAAGGAATCAATTTCCCTGTAACGTTTTTAAAGTGTAGTAAACCTTTCCGGTGTTGATAAAGTTCTCTTATTCCAGCGAAATCAATTCCGGGTTCTTTTACAAAAGTGCTGAAGAAAGGGAGAAGCTCGTGGCCTCGGAGAGGAAGTTCATCGATGACAGAGTTCAGAAAGTTATCGAACTTAAAAAAAAGGTATTAAAAATTATATAACTTTTGAATGGTTTCTTACAAAGGCGCACGTGTAATGTGCATGGTAGAGATTTCACGTAGAAAGCTGCCGTGCTCGGTAGAACAACGGGAGTATTTAACTGCATAATGAGGGAAGAACATATATAGGATTAGCGTTGACAACAAATTGGCAGAAAATGGGTGAATGTTTGTGTCAAACTTCGGCATAACGAGGTTCAATGCTGTGGTAGGAATCTGTTCATGTGTATTTTACATTGGAATAGCCAATTCAGTGAAATCAAGGGGACTCAATCTAATTTTGCAACGACTAACAACATAGATATAGAGCTGTCTTAAAAAACTCCGGCTACTTGTATGTTCAAAATGTATAAAAAGAACCAAACCTCGGAGCTGGCCCCACTAATCCACTTTTAAAAGCTTATGAGAGTTTCGTCTCGTGAAGAATTTTGAAGACTTTGTTGCAATCAAGGTGTGCTCAGGACTGTCGAAAAAACAACAACACACTCCAGTGCATGCATATATACAGTGGGTATAAAGAAACGCAGTCTCGGAATTGCGGAAGGTGTCCGCTAATAGAAACACACGCTTGAGCGTGTGTTGAAATTTTTAAAGTATAAATTAGCTTGTAGGTACACCACGCATTTTACAAGAGACGGTATACTTTTCATTTATGATCTACTTATGATCATCGCATAAAATGGAAAGATGCAAGCATTTTAGCGAATGAAAAGTATACCGTTTCTCGTAAACGAACGAACGTGATCTTTAAGTGACGTGTAAGTGTGTAGTCAGGTAATTGCACTGATGAAGGCTAGAGTTAACGGACAGAAAGCTTTGCAGTATTGAATACTTACGTCGTGTACCTACAAGCTAATTTACTTATTTTTGTCACCAAGCATGCAAACATACAAGAATATTTTTCAAATTTTTTATTACACATCCTGTTGAGCAGAAATAAGTGAATGAAATTTTCAATTACACGATTTTTTTTAGCATTTTGACGTGCATGGTTTAATTATAAAAAGCTGTTTAAATTATACTGCGTATGGAAATAAAAATATTGTGCTTTTGGAACTAAATGGATTTCTTAGGATGATCCGGGTAGCATTTTTCGCTACACGCTTCACACGTATACGTTTTACCCCCAGTTTAATAGAAATGGGCGAGTTTAGAGCGTTTATTACAATTTTAGGTTTGTGGTGGGAACGAGAAAGGGTTCGTTGTTATTAACCAAAAGGTAAGTAATATTCTAGATTTGGAGCTCAGTTTTATTGCTTACATTTGGAATAACCCAAACAAATATTAAAATGGAACCAAAGTTTTTTCTTCGCATATCGGTTTGCTCAAAACGATCAACAATGTGATCAAAATCTGTAGTTCATGTATAGACAGTACACCGTATTTTAAAAAGTATACAAGTTTAAAATATGGAAAATTGACAAGAAGTGCTGTGCTTTATTATCTCATTATCTATTGTTTGAGTTGCATTCGACGCGACCAAAATGCGACGTATAACCTAGCGTTGAGATTATAAATAACACTAGAGGGAGCATCGAGGAGAAATTGGGGAGCGCGGGGGCAAATGGGGGGCAAATCCATGTCCCGGATGTCCACTCATTCAGGATGTCCGAGGCCAATATATGTCGTTTTAAACGAGTTTTTTCTATTTCTAAATGTTTTCCCCCTAAAATATCATTTCAGGATGTCTAAGGTGGTAAAACCAGTTCAAAAAAACACTGTTTTTCCTCAAAAACCGGCAAAGCGACCTAAAAAACGAATATAAATTTTTAATAACAAATTTTAGTTGTTGCTAACGTGGTTGCTAAGGAGAGGCATTATGTAGCCAATAGGCGCTTGGCTTAGCATCTGGGACTTGAATTTACCCCCAAACATCGCACCCCCTTTTTTGACTGATGTTTTCGATACCAATGCCCCCTCTAGTGTTATTTATAACCTCTATGGAACCTAGGCCTTACTTGGCGAATTTCTCTCAATAAATGACTTCGGTTTACCTCTTTTGGATATGTTTAAATGATATTTCGCACCCTGAATGTTTAGGGAATAGATCCGTTCTCCCTGGATATGTTGGCAAGGGAAGGTATTGTCGCGTTAAGAAGGGCTAAAAGACGAAATATGGAAAGGTAAAGTAGTCATTCATGATTTGTCGAAACAGAAGCTCCATCAAAGCATCGTTGCATTGCTATAAACTAAAAGGAGTCAATATTATCGGGAAATAATAGTTGTTTGAAAACCATTTCGACTGGCTTTAGGTGATCTTAAATAGCAGCGTAGAGTGGGGAGATGGGTTAATCCCCGTGAGAGGAGGAGGTGGGGTAATCACTCCGGAGCAAAACGGGGGCGAGCTCATTTCCTGCGTCCATGTCGCATATAACTGCAAAGTTAGTTAAGCTACGAAATTAGGCTTAGAGTATGTACAAACCTGAGACTAGCCTTAGCGGCTGTTTACATGAGCCCGGTTACCCGAGATTCAACGATGCGTGAGATGATTTTGAAGTATTAAAATGAGCAGATAACATGATCCTGGCAGTCGTATAATCACCACAACAATAGCATGCTTGTTTGGTGCCATAAAAACTTTTTTCAATCCTTCAAAGTCCTCTTACGCTTCGTTGAATCTCGGGTAACCGGGCTCATGTAAACAGCCCCTTAGGACCTGTTTACATGGAGTGAGTTATCCCGGCTGGGCGAAGGGAAAACTGCAAACAATGAAAGACTAATCAGGTTAAGCCTTTGATCTAATGCGCTTTTCACCTCGCCTAGCCTGGATAACTCGCTCCATCAAAACATGCCCTATATGACTCCTTCAGTATTAAATACTTGCATGACCCCAAAACTCCTTTGTCCCTGTTCCCAGCTGGATACTAGCTCATGGTACGTACTTGGTGTTCATTGTTTCAGATTGACATTGGCTTGTGGTGGTACAGCAATGAACTCGTTTGATGACTTGACTGAGGACTGTCTGGGCCACGCTGGCTTAGTCTACGAACATGTTCTGGTAGGTTTGTCGCGGGTCGTGTTGGAAAAAAAATCTATCTTACCAACATTTTTTTGTATGGCTTCTTGGCTTCGCCTTTGAAGAATGCAAATTTTGCGAGAAGTGCCTAAATTGACACACTTTTCTAGGGCGAAGATAAATTTACATTCGTTGAAGAGGTGAAGAATCCTCACTCAGTGACTATCTTAATTAAAGGTGAGTTCGGATTTTCGTGTATATTTTGCAAAATAAATTTATATGTTATTTACCGGCTGCGAGGTCCGGATAAAAAATATTTTAAAATAAGACGTTTTTGAGACCGAGGGGAAATATTTTTCTATCCGGACCGAATAAAACGGTAAATAACGTATTTATTTTTTTTTACAAAAAGCGGTGTGTTCAATCGTAGCTATTATCACTTCAATTTATCGTGGTCATCATTTGGTCCATAAGGACCATATATTTTAAAATAAACAAGACGCCTGTTCTGGCGTTAACTCCGGCGCACGTGCCAGTCTTCAATATAAAGCTTCTGAACATAAACAGTACAGTTCATATTCCGATATTCGCATTTAGATGCCTTGCGCACCTAAATGTTCGATCGCGAAATTCAGAAGCACATCGCACTTTAAAAAGTATAGAAGTTCAATTGTTCAAAAATGTAAATAAACCGCATGATACATTCGCTTTGTCTTACACTTTGCCTTTGGAATTCGTGCTTATATTAAATCTTCAATCCTGTGCAAACTACGACGTGTCAACGCGCCCATACACGACAACATCATCTTGTTAAACGGCGAAATAGCAGCGATATTATTAAAATAGGACCAGAATCTACATGTATTAAATATATTCTTACCTCAATTCAATCTAAACTTAATCGAACAGCATGAAAAGAACGGTTTATTTGTTTCTTGGAGGAATTGCCGTATCATGCGAGCGAAATCAAATCGCGCATCGGAAAATTAGCCAAAGCTGTGCACCACAACTCTTGGGAGATAAGACTGGGACGTAGATAAATACGGTTACACACACATTTCAAATACTAGAATGTTTCGCGCCATTTCAGATTTGCGACGACGAAAAAAAACAAGGAAAACAAAACAAAACAAAACCGGGGCGAATTTTCAACTCCGTCGCTGGCGCCGAAGTAAAAAGTCAAAAGTTTGCGAAAAAATCTTTAGGAAAACAAAACAAAACAAATACGCTTTCGCTCGAGCATATAAAATATAGGATTCTGGACCATGGTCAGATATTGGAAATTCCGCCCGCTGCTACAGCCAATCAGATTGCAGGAAAGGCTAGGATTCCGTCCGCTGCTGATTTGTAAAAAAGTAAAGGAATTTAACCTTTAAGATTAAGATATTGTTAAATCAAAACACATGAAAACCTCTTAATTTTGTTACAAACTTATTATAATCTTGTTAAAAAACTACATAAAAACATTTAATCTTGTTAGAATATTTTTTGAAAAACCACAAAAAATCTCTAAACATGTTAAAATGTTATTCTTGTCAGTTTGCATGGTGACATCAAATAAGTAAATAGTAGGTACACCACATAAGTACTTACGTGGTGTACCTACAAACTAATTTACTTATGGTTAAAATGTTGTTAAAAACTACATAAAAATCTCTTAATCTTGTTACAATCTTGTTATAATCTGGTTAAAGAAACTTCATCCTGCATAATCTTGTCAAAACACATACATAAACGTTAATTTTATGATATTTCCAGGGCCAAATAAACACACTCTAACTCAGATTAAGGATGCTGTTCATGATGGTCTGCGTGCTGTGAAAAACGCGATCGACGATGGGTCGGTGGTTCCTGGTGCTGGAGCCTTCGAGATCGCCGTTCATTCTGCTCTCATGCAGTACAAGAGCTCTGTAAAAGGAAGAGCGAGACTTGGAATACAGGTCAGTGTGATGATGCGTGTATATATATTCAATGAAATAATCAATTGATGATAGAGAATTAATGATTGACAGTAATCAATCGATGATTGAATGTAGTCAATCGATGATTGACAGTTACCAGTTGATGATTGTAAAGTAGAGTCAGTTGATTACTGCTAGTATTTGTAGTATAGTCAATTGATTATTACCAGTTACCAGTTGATGATTGTAAAGTAGAGTCAGTTGATTACTGCTAGTATTTGTAGTATAGTCAATTGATTATTGGACTTGATAACTGTTGATGATTGACAGTAATCAATGGATGATTGCGAGTAGTCAATCGATGATTGACAGTTTTGAGTTGATGATTGTAAAGTAGAGTCAGTTGATTATTGCTAGTATAGTCAATTGGTCATTGGAATTGATTATTGTCGATGATTGACAGTAATCGATTGATGATTAGAAATAGTCACTCGATTATTGACAGTTACCAGTTGACCAGTGTATAGTCAGCCGATTAATAATAGTATAAATAGTCAATTGATAATTGAAGTTGATTACTGTCGATGATGACAGTAATCAATTGATGATTGTAAGTTGTCAGTCGATGATTGGCAGTAATCAGTTGATGATTGTAAGTTGTCAATCGATGATTGACAGTAATCAATTGATGATTGCAAGTTGTCAATCGATAATTGACAGTAATCAAATGATGATTGTAAGTTGTCAATCGATGATTGGCAGCAATCAATTGATGATTGTAAGTTGTCAATCGATGATTGATAGTAATCAGTTGATAATTGGAAGTATTCAGTCAATAATTGACAGTAATCCAATGATTCCACTTGATGGTTATCTTCCTTGCTAATGCTACCGCGGCGCAAGATCGCTATAAAAAAATTTCCGTTTCAAAATGGCGGATTCGGAATAGAATCGTGTTACTGCGCTCAAATTCAGTAATCAATTGATGTGGTAGTAAAGATTACATCCTGTTCAAACGTTTAATGGATAATACTTATCCAAAGAGAAGTAGCAATGTCTTCATTACTGAGAAAACGTTTATGGTTGTCCTCTTTCTGGAAATTTGGTGCTATTTCGTACTATAATCTAAATGACTAAATCAAGCGGGTTCGCATATTGCCATGCATGTTTTCGGAACATGCATGTTTTTGGAACATTCTCCGATGCAAACAAATGCATGATGTAGACAAACAAAATCCCTGGTTAGCATACAACAACACAATACGTGATTTTAGTTTCGCATTCAATCGGTAATTCTCAATCTATGAAACTAAATAGCTACTCACCAATATGCGGGGCAACAGAGTCCAAATGACAGTCTGAAATACGACCTTCCCCACATTAATATGAACATGATTTAATGTAGATACGTTCCAATATAACCAGGGAGCAGCGTGGCAGTGTCTTCAAACAACTTTGCATTAAATGTGGTGTAACAACTGCCTAAAATAGACAAAACACTTCTCAACGTTTCAACCTAAAGGCATCAACTGTTTATTCACACTCCCGTCCGTAATACAAAAGTGTACAAAAATTGCCTACTTCGCATGGCTATATTTTGATTATTCCCTTCTTGTTACCTAGATCATAAGTTGGTCTGTAATCTATTATTATGCAAGTGGTCCTTTTCTCCTCTTCTGAGGATTTTGTAAATTTTATTCAACTATAGACATGAACCTGCATGACTGCAATTTTGTTAATAAAATTCTGATACAATCTGTCTTTCAACGACAATGCAAACCAAGTGGCATAAAGTCTAGTTCTCGTATGTCACCAACAGTCTGCGATAGCAATTAGTTAAGGACCTTAAGCGATGTTTTCCACTGTCGCGTTTTTTGTAAGTAGGTAAACGCACGTAAAAGCTGGCCTCCACTTGCACGTACTGTCAGTGCGGCCGATTTGATGCTCAGTGACTCGAAACTGATCGCTAATGTCGGCCGTCGAGACTAATTTTTTGTACGTATGACAGTAGAACTGTAGTCTACTTTCAAGGCGGCTACAACGCACAAGCCGTATGTGCGATTTCGCGTACGCCATACGTGCAAGTGCAGGCCGGTCTTATTGCTCTTTTCAGATGAGCGCACCGCATTTACTGATGAGTTTGTATTGTGTCAACGTAACGTTGATATGATGTCAACGCTACGTTGAGGCGAGGTCAGCGCTGCGTTTAAGCAAGGTCAGCACTACGTTGCGCTCGCGCCAAACTAATGTTCAGATGGCGCCAAACTACGTTTAGATAAAAAAACAAAACTAACTACCAGTATGGCTCTTCGAATGTCAATCGCTTTTCCACTTTCAAATGTCCTGCCGCGTTTGCTAACGTTCATGTTATATTTACCTATTTAGTTTTTTGTTATCTAGACGTAGTTTGGCGCCATCTGAACATTAGTTTGGCGCCAGTGCAACGTGGTGCTGACCTTGCTTAAACGTAGCGTTGACCTCGCCTCAACGTAGCGTTTACATCATATCAACTTTACGTTGACACAATACAAACTCGTCAGTAAATTCGGCGCGCTCATCTGAAAAGAGCAGTAAAAGTTTAATATAATTTAAATGACACTTATGAAATCAACGATTGAATAGATGCATAGGGTTGGATGATTCTGTTGATGATTTGGTGTGTGTTTTTCTGGCATAAAATGAATTAGTAGCCATTACAACGCGTACCTTCGCATGCACATGTTGAACGCAACCTCGAAACCGTAAGATCTCATTTCGGTTCAAAACGCAACCAGCATTGCGTGAGCAGGATCTTGAGTATTATGTATTTTGAACAGTCTATTTCTTGCCCCATCGACGAACCATCAGGAGCATGCAGACAGCTAACAATTTGTTTGTTTTATGTCTGCCTTTATGTGGGATTTTCCCCCCACCTCACGGATTGAACTATGCGCGAAACTGCATTAAGGCAATTACCACACTATTTGTATAGAGCAGATGACACAATTGGTGTGAAAATCGCTTACGGATGTAATAAATTGATGTTTAATTACATGCCGCGCTTTCACTAATAAGGCTGCTGCGATTAAGGCGATTTAGACCTAATTTAAGGCGGTTCGCCATTACATTCCTTTTTCCGCGCGGGCGAAGCGGCCTCGCTTTCGAAAATCTGCTGATGTGCTTGCTTGATGTCATAAAGCATATTTTAACACCTGAGAATGATCTCGGCGAGCCGGTCTCATGTAAACAGCCCTTTTTACTCACCCTTCAGGGGCCGGTTGTATCAAGCCCGTTTAGCTTAAACGGTGGTTAAGTTCAAAATAGAAAACAAATCTGTCGTTTTATTCAGGAAGCAAATTAAATGTTTTTGACATTAATGCAAAGATACTGTTTACAACTACATATATACAGTGCATAATATTCAAGTTGACTCATTCAAGAGAGATGTAAGAGTGTTATTTAATTTTGACTTATCCCCCGTTTAAGCTAAACGGGCTTGATACAACCGGTCCCAGGTCCATTAAGACGTTGTTTTAGCCTGGTTCAAAACTACCTTCTGTCAGGGAATCTTGGATCCGCATTTTATTATTTTCCGAAAATTTTTCGCTTGATTTTCTTTTCAATTCGACCGGTCAAGGAAACCTTTACTAATAAAAGAAAATCAGGCGAAAAATTTCGTTCAATAATCACCTTTGAATAATCATAACAATCTGATTCACTTCGTCTGAAGGACTTGTGACATTGGGCGATTTCCTTTACATGAAAAACGGCCAGACTGGTTCTGGTGTATTTCGGTACAGACAGATTACTGGTATTTTAGAGTGTTTTTACAAATCTGCATTCAAGATATCGTTATTTACATCTGCCTGGTAGGGAAATGCAGTTTTATCGCTATATTCCTAAGGAAATACTCTATTTCAATTCAAAATATAACCGCTCTGACCATTTTGGCCGCTTGAACGAAAGCGCCCGTTCTCTTCCATGGCTTGAAACTGCTAATTAGGGTCAGAGGTTAATTATAGCCGTTAATTATATTACCTTTGATTGGTTTTATATGTCACAGCCTGGATACACCTAATTTTATTCTTAAGACATCCCCCACGTTCGAAATAATTCGTTCACCCCAGTATACACACCCACGCGTCTGCTAATTTGCTCTAAATATAACCGTGAGATTGTGTTTGACTCCATGTCCGTTTAATATTATAAGGAGCTTTGGTATCAGCATTGATAACGAGTACAAGATTTGTCATTTTCGCGCCAAATTTAGTGCTTGTGCTTACGCCATCTGACGTAGTCGTTAGACTTTTCAATGCGAAATTGATCAACAAACTCGTATTCAAAAGGGCGCCGTATCTGTGCCGTGGTCGTCCTCGTAGTCACTGCCGAAGATCCCCAATATGTAAACTTCAAATGTGCATAATGCTTTTCAACCTAAGTGCTTGCTATGTGTGGAATGTTATCAGTTCAATGTTATCATAGAAAACCACGGTATATTTGGCCGAGCAATAGGCTATTTCCGAATTGCGGTTTTGATGATGAGAAAAAGAGCAGGAAACAAAATTACTGGAGTGTTTTCCCCGAGCGGGCGCGAAGCGCTGCGAGGGTACTAATTCCGCTCGGAGATTACGGATTACACCCGGATCCCGTGAGAACATAGCGGAACCGTCGAGGAAAATAAAAAAAATAGCAAAAAAAAACTAAGGCCATCTTTCAACTCCGTCGCTCGTAGGTACACCACGCAAACTTTCGGTCCGTTAACCCGGGCCTTCACCAGTGCAATTGATGCACTGATAATAATTTATTGCGCTGATTTGGTTTTGTTTTTGTTATTTTTTCATTTTCGTCTTCGCAAGGTGTGTTTTGGCGCGACTATACTAGTAATTTGAAAAGTGAAATGCTCATTTGTTCACAGATCTCGATCGTTGAAGAGCATCTGTGACCGCGTATTTATTTACATCAAAGTTTTGTCTCGCAAGAGTTGATTGTGGTGCACTACCAGTGTTGCCAGATTACTAAAAAAAAGCCAAATATTGTTTTATTTGGCCCTTTGATTTCTT